CAGTGAAAAGCCTCCTGTTACAAGACAGTTAGTTCAAACTGCTATGAAACTATGAAAATGCTTCAATACTAATCAAACTTGGCACAAATGTTGACTGGACCATTGGCTTTGTAACAACATGCTCAGTCTTAAATTTCCTGTTACCATGGCAACGAGGGGACATCTCAAAATTGCCAAAAATCACTATTTTGCCTCGATTTTTTCCATCAAAATTTATTTCAAAGTGCTGCAACTTCTCAATGGATTGAGATAGAGTCCATGGCTTTTCAGCGTTGGTTACACATTACCTTATGATCGACCTGGGGTCATTTTTAGCCTCTCACAAGTCAAAAATTTTCTTGGCGATGAGAGGGACTCCACCCCCCTTCAAACCCCCCAAACAGAAGGGGGCACATCCCCCTTCTGGCATTCTGGCAACCCCCTGATGTCTCTTTTGGATGGGAGGCAGCGCCGAAAAAGTGCTCACTTTTTATAGCAACATTTCTCAAACAAAAACATGTGTTTGGGGCCCAAATAGGATATTTTTCCTAAAAAGATGGGGGGGGGGGTGGGGGGGTGGAAGTGCATATATATGAGGTAAAGGGTTAAAATCCTTGAATTTTCATAAATTTAGCAGATTGAGGTTTCCGCTGGTCAAGGATTGATGGTTCTGAGGGCCGAGGATTGTGGGTTTTGCGGGCCAAGGATTGTGGGTTCTGCGGGCTGAAGATTATGGATTCTGCATGCCCAGGATTGTGGGTTCTGCGGGCCGAAGATTGTGGATTCTGCATGCCGAGGATTGTGGGTTCCGTAGGCTGAGGATTGTGGGTTCTGTGTATTGAGGTATGAGGGTTTCACGGGTTGAGAATTGATGGTTCAGCGGGTTGGGGGTTAATATTCATGAGTATTTTATATGCATAATGAATCATAGACTAGAGATATGAAAAACAGTTATGGGTAAAACTTAACATTAAAGATGCAAATGTTGTAGACATCTGTATGAAAGTACAGAGAAAATAAATATATATATAAACACATAAATTGGCAGAGACACAACTGTTTCCATGGTATTTCACTATTTTGCAAGATAAATTTAATCATTAAACGCAGAAATACCTTAGATTTTGCTGTGAATATTTCAGCTATAAGTACCACTGATGACAGTATCGAAAGATCATGCCATGAATTATTGAGACCTCTCTGGGCATTAATACCATATACAACCATCATACAATCTCAAATCTGACAAATATATGTCAATACTGGAGATAGAATCTTCTCTATGTCATTTCGTTCATACTGGATTCTTACTAGGTTCATATTCGGTTCAGTCAATAAGATAAATAAAGAGAAAACATAGTGGTAGATGAATCATCAGTTATATACATTCTTTATTCTCACCATAGAAATAAAATGTAATAGATTATATATATTGTAATCCAAGAGAATGGTTTCTTTGATTTCACTCCTAACTATAATGACAACTTTTCTTTTATGTTTTTCACATATAGATACTGTAAAGGTCATATGTAACTAGTGTTTTCAAATTTACTGATTGAGGGTAACCAAAGGTCCTTATAAGGCAGTAATACCATTTGTAGAGCTACTGACCTTCTAAAAGCTGGCTAGATTAAGGCCCAACTATTTTACATTTTCCAAACTTTAAAGTATTAACCATCTGGCCTTAATCTGAATGAATGAGTCTATATTTCACAGAACTCTACCTAAAATGCTGAATACCACTTGTGACCTATTGTTATTACCCTCCTTAATTGTATAATGGACTTGTCCTGCTTTGAATTTGGAACTGTCCATAGTTTGTATGAGGGAAGTCAGGTATCAAACTGCTAAAATTGAGCCACTAAGAGTATAGTCTCAGAGACCGCCGTGTTAAAGTGTGCAAATGGGCCAGACTGGAATGAATATATGTAATGGTGAAATTGTTAGGCAAGTCAATTCCCCAGTTAGCATTCAAGCAATCAAAGGGCAAATATCTGAAAACGCCTAGGACAATAAATGAACAATAAAACAAATGGACAAGCTGTTAATCTGAGCCTGCAATTTCGTGAAAATAATATCACAATGCACATGCTTTTTATATAAAGTTATTAATACAAAATATCAACCCATATTTTGTTTAAACTTGAAATTTTACGATTCAAAATAAATGTAATTAACACAAAATGAAAATAACTGCTAATAAGTAACAGCTTCCTCCAGTTCAGGCATTCAAGCAATAAAAGGGCAAATATCATAATAAGACGACGTAGCTGACAATCACCGGCGTCGCCAATAATACAAAGCTAAATTCTGTCATGCATTTCAATGGCATAAAATGTTCAGTTGTTCCGATTCTCTTAGATAAAGAAAATTCCAAGCATGTTTCCTGCATGGAGACATCAGTCCTGCTCTTTGTGTCTGTAACAGACAAATTATTACAGAGTCAACAGTTTTACAAGACCACAGATAAAATCTCCCCGGCTGTCTCATGCAAGTTCAATATTACGCCTACTGCATATAAATTAACAAGGCTGAACTTTTTATAATTGAAATGCTTTGCTTTGAAAATGGAAGTATCCATTATTAACTGAAGGGTTTTCCAGATCACTGTACATACAAGGTATGGGCAAAATTTAATGCCAGACATTATTACTCATTTACAAAGTTTATTCCTAACCTGCTAATTTTTTTAATGAACTTGCCCAATTACCAATTTGGGAACTGTCCATTGTCAGATTTTGGGGATATCAAAATGTAGATTTAAAGTCAATTAGCAAACAGTATAGAGCCTGGTCAAACTGCCTGGTTTCCATCAGCTTGCAGATACATGTACTACAAAATCTCTTCCTACAAATATCTTGTGTTTTTTTTTTTGTTTTGTTTTTTTTCCATTGGGTTTTACGTCACACCAACACAGTACAGGTCATATGGGGACTTTCCAGGTTTACTGGTGGAGGAAGTCCTCAGGTGTCCCTCTGTGCATTATTTCAGACACGAGCTGGCACCTGAGTAAATCAGTCAACATTCTGTAAACTAACTGGATAGCTTCATCATGTGAAAGAATCCAAAATCCCTAATTGTATTCAAGAGTCAAATGGTTTGTAGTCAAATATCCTAATAATCTACATATAAGATTCATTCAAATTTTCACAAGCATACTTTGCAACTCACTTGATATAATGAAAATAAAATTGTAGATGTTAGAAATAAACATATGACATTCCGGAATCAATCTACTTCAGAAAATTTCCAAGATCATTAACACAACCTTAACAAGTAAACATTCAGTTAACTATAGTACATCTTCAGATAAAAACAGGTAACCTTGGCTAGAAATTATTGCGTTCTTGTTATAAACTATATTTAGTGAAAGACTTGCGCGCAATAATTGAGGCAATTACCAGACATTACGGAGAAAATGTTGCGAGATAACCGACCGGAAACTCATCATCATTACAGCTGGAGGCTGACACAGAACGAGACAGTGACACAATACTATCATCTATATTATATCTACAGAAACACAATAAAACCGAGCTATCGTTTTCTTTATCTATATGTACAAGTTATATTTTGTCGCCCTCTGCTGAAAAATCACCGCTTGGACATACAGGTATCGTGTTATCATGATTTTACATGTACAAGGGACCAACTATATCTAGTTGTTCATTTCGTACCTCTTACACAGCGAACAGGTCTGACGAAAGAGTAACATGATAACATTATTAAACTTATACAAGGGACCAATAATAATAAAGGACAAATATTAACTATTGGCTCACCACTGAGACAAACCACCAGTACAGGTCAGATTGACATTTACCGAGGTAACATGTTAGCATGTTGATGGGAAAAATTTGTTAAATAAAATGTAAGCTAAAATTAACTTTAAACACACGTTTACCATCTCGCTCACCATCTTACACTGATATCATACCTAAATTAAGCAAACCAATATCATTTTCATCATGCAATTTATCTCCACTGAACTCTAAGTTTTGCTGGTAAAAAACTCAACAGGAAGCTAGCATGCCAGATTCCTTATACACGCAATATTGTCGCAACAAAAACAAATAGATATAAAAAATACCAGAAATATCATTCATTTCCAAGTATGGATAATATAGACATAGATCTTAACTAGAGAAAACCCACTGTTCAATCGATAGTAAGGAAATTAGATGTCTAATGAGTAATCACGTGTTACGATAAGTGGCCTTATCTCCGAACTGACTTGATACCACCACAACAATTCATGTAGCCAATAAATTGAATAGCTTCTTCGTATGCAACTGAGAATTTTCATCACAATATAATAATATCTTTTACAACATTTCTTAGAAAATTTTCTTAGAAATTCGGGAACCCCTGATAAACACTGAAATATTAACTATTAACATTAAAGAAAAAGGAAGTGAGATTAAATTTTTCTCTCGCAAATTTTCGTAGTAATTCAATGGGTTTCACAACAGATCATCAAAAGAAAATGAAAGTCACTTGAGAGTAACAAAAGAAGAAATTCAAGAAAAGTTGACAGGTTTTTTTTACACTAACTGAACGGGACACTTTTTCTTTTCAATAACTGACACCATCTTGTTAGCATTTTTCTTTTCAATTATGGAAACCATCTTGTTAGCCGAAAACCATAATTCTGTCATCTTAGAACACAACTTGAGAAAATTTCTACACACAACAAAATAATTATAACATTAATGAATTTACACAGTGGCTGAGCAAAACACAAACTATGTCTGGTGAACAAAGCTATCATGTTTGACACATTTGGAGAACTATAAAAGCAACATTTTCCTTTTCCAATCTAGAATTTTATTGCAGTAATGCAATATTTTAATTGTAACAGATGAGTCATAATTTGCAGCACTTTAATTGCATTGCATGTGGGGGGAAAATCTACCAGTATTGATCAGGAAGGATGGTACACTGTATTGAAGAATTCCTCCTATAAAATTTTTACCTGCCAGACATTAAACAAAGATCGCGCACACGGCTATGATACTAACCTTGGTGACCTTCTCGTGTTGGTGTTTCTGCATCGATTTCTCGGCTGCCTTGAACTTCATATGCTCGTTACTGTATTTGTTCATATCGTAACCACGGAGATATGCAGTATAATCGTCAACCTCCTCCTCAGAGTCGACATTCTCGGATTCCGAACTTGATGAGGACACCGATGGCGTACTTTTGTCTTCTAGAAAATAAAATAATTAGCTCATATTATACGTAAAATAGTTAGATAATGTATGTTCACTTGGGAAATCTTGTATTATAGTGTGGACAAATTTGACGGCAGTATATCACAGGTCACGTTTCACGTCACTGATCCAGATAATTAGCGTCTAGATAAATATTAACCTGCTGGGAAATATCTTTTTTTTTCTTTTACTACACACCTAAAAGCTGTTTCTAACATGGTCGCTTGTACAAAAATCCTAAAACATTTGTGACATTCATAAACAGTAAACAAATAATCAAATATATAATAGTCATATTAAATTTGACCTTAACATAATATTAACCAGAAAATGCTCACTTACTAAAATAAACTGACAACATCTGGTTCTAAAAGCTCATCATGAGCTTAGCTGTAAATGTCAACACTAAATCATGCTACTAAAGTATATTGTTGAAAGTATCTAAACTATGACGCAAGTTGAGCTGTTTAGTACATTTGCTAGACCACACTCCCTCCTAAGCTTTTTTTGTATTTAAATAAAGCTCAGCTTAGATTCAGGTCAAGGATGTTTATTTATATACATTTTTTCAGCAATGTCAATAATATCGTGACAAATTCATAGTTCAATGCCCCAGAATCTCAATTCCATATTCTTTAACAACAACTTATAGCAGTGTTGCTTGAGATCTTCAAAGAGAGGAGATACAATTACTTTTTAACTTGTCAGATCGTATACTTTAATCTAACATGTATATTAGTCTGCTGCCTTCACAATATTATTGAATAAGTTGGTTGTTTTTTTTTCCTCTACCCTGGCCAACCCAGACCTATACATACTATATAAAGGAAGGACGTACTAAGTTAATTAAGGCTGAGAGTCGAGATTATTCTTTTATTAAGCATGAAGTGAACCACTTGGCCAATGATTATACCGTTTTATTGATTTGTTAATTGTGTTATACCCTCGGTGTTCTCTCGTATTCAAATGTAGCATCATAGTACAGAATGATACAAATTATATCTGTATCATTTTTGACAGAATTTCGCTTTCTTGGATGGGAATTTTGAATTACTATTAACGGCAAAGCGCTCTACTTAGTCCTTAACACAATCACTCCAAACTTTTGTACATTGTACACGTATTTCATTTTCTATAAGAAAATATATCATTCTTATTTTGTGGTCAATCAGAAATCCACAGTCACTGTTCATACAAATAAAATTTTTGCTACAATGTGATTTAAAACAGAAAGGCTGGCCACTCAAACCTATAGTTTTGATTAAGAACAGCTACAGTAGCTATACACCCTTGCTTGTATCAACTTTAAGCCTGTTGGGGACAACTTAATCTAACAGTGCAGACCAAGATCTTCTGGTATATCCATGCTGCCTGATCATGGTCTGCACTGTTTGTTGTTTAATCATATTTTGAAATTTTCCGTAAAAATGATGAATGTTTTTTGGTTTTTTTAAGATTGAAAGATGGACATTTACATTTAAGATATTTAGCATGGAAAGGGTTATTTATAAGCAGAATTTCCTTCCTCTATTGTTTACAACCATTTTCACTATTTGTTTAATAACAATACATAGATCATTTTTATTAAACATAATTTATCTATTAAACTAATGTTTTCTTTCAAAAATTTTGTCATTTATAGAAATAATTTCATCCTATCATGCTAACTTCCCAAGAAATGTTATCTATTTTGTCAAAATGCATTATATCAATCTGATAAAAAAAACAACAACTTTTCTTACAAAATCTATATTCATCTATATAAATAAAAACCAAAAAAAGAACTATAGCCGTTCTTCTGATGATCGATAACTAAACACTCCAGTGTTCAAATATAACAGAAAAAAAACTTTCAACAGAGATTTAACACTAATGGAAAGGTCTTGCAAAAAATTCCAATACAACGTCACTCTCTTAAAACAGGCTTTAATCATCAGTATCTGAATGCATTAACGGGATAAAAGCACCGAGGATTACGCGAGCAAACCCTCGTTCCTCGATATTACAATTCTTACAAGACTACCAGTCGTTAATATTTTTCTCATTTTCTAAGTAAATCAATAGTCCCCGCTAACAATATTATTGATTCGATAAAATAGTTGAAAAGCACGCTTTGACATTGAAACAGCCTCCAGTTACATCGATTTATCTCGCATGCAAAGTAATCTAATTAAATTCAAATATATCACATGAAATAGAAACATTAGACAGAAACGAACACAGACTGTTAGGGAAACGTTGTCTTCTCTCACCCAAGAATCAAATTATCTTATAAAGCCTTTCATACTGTCTAACATTGTATAAATAACAATATCCATTACAAATGTTCAACTACCCTACTAAAAACCCTAGAAAATGTTTAAATTTATAAAGATTCACATTAGTATTACAAAAAATAAACTTTCCATCAAATTATCTCGAACATTTTTCAATCTGATTCCATTTATCTGACATTTGGACAGTTTCCTAAGCTAAAGCTTTTTCAAAAACAAATTATTTTTAAAATTTAACGCTTAGCAGTATAAATATGATTTGCATCCAAAACTATACATTGAAAATATATAAAATTCAGATCAAGTCCAAGAGCATGTCATTTATGCTTAATATCATACGTATGTTAATATTTGTTAATATTTAATTTATAATTCTGAAACCAAATAACTATGAACGAAACGGTATACCTTTTGGACAGCAAACATACTCGACACCTCTGAACGTGTCTGTGCCGCACACAACCAGCATCCCTGAGCTCTCTAGAACCATACCACGTGACGCACACTCGTCTGTGGCAGTTTTCTTCCATACTGATGGTCGCTCACATTTGTTAGAATCATGCTCGTGATCAAATATACAATGTTGAGGTACTAATAGGGCTTCACTTTCAAAATCACCAACTGAAAGTAGATAAAAAATATCTAACATGCATTACATTTTATTATCATTTGTTGACAGTAAAAAATTAATAAAGATCTTGCCTAGGAAAATCAATCGGTCTTTATCAAACTTTCTCATGACACAAAATAAATTTCAGATCAAAATGAGAAATTAGGCCCACGACACAAACAAGATTTCCGTGCCCATGACACAAAAAAGATTTCAGATAAAACTTAGAAAATGCATCAAGTCAACAACATTCAAAATGTTCTGTGCAAGAGATAGAAAGCACAATTTCGTATCTGTTTGAATGTTTTATGACTAGATTTTGCAAAGAACACACTACAAGACAATTTTTACACAATTTTGTGAAGTACATGTACCAAAATCAAGTAGTTGTCTGTTGAATTTGATATTTAATCACGAAAGAGCTTTGGATCAAAACATGCATTTATTGCACAAAATACTGTATATACAAGAAAGGATCAATGGCAATATTAAGTTAGTAACAAGATACATATCAAATCAATGTTATCGATGCCTGTAATGGTGAGTAAAATTTCACAAAGACGTCCAATATCTTGTCTTCTTCATAAATAAATAAACAGTATCAATTTCCTATATTAATGCTTTAAACCCTGGGGGTGTTGCTATGAACAATGACTTTATCAACAGTGTCAACCATTGGAAATATAAGCTGCCCTCACTGTTTTATTATGCATTAAAACCGGTAAACTTAAACCTTGCTAATTTTGTACAATGGGACTTGTCCAGATTTAATGCTGGAATTATTGATTTTAACAGAAGGATTTCAATATCAAAGAAACAATATATAAGTAAAGTGCAGGACAAGCCCCAATGATGAGTCAATCAGACTTGCATTAACTCTTTGACTGCTGAAACCAATACAAAGTGTCAGATTAGCCTTCGGTACAAGTATGGAACCAGACCAGCCTGCATATCTGTGTAGTCTGACTAAGTTCCATTCTGTTGGCTTTTTTGTCTTGATATCCCAAAAATTGATGAAGGACTGTTTTTTAAAAACTTGAAGCTGTACAAGGAGGGTATTCAAGAAATTAGCAAGTTATGAATTAATGAACTGGCTAGCCTGGCTCGACACTTGCAGCACATTCACAGCTAGCTATCATTACTGTTACTTGTGCTTTAATTAAAGTTGAAATAATAGTGTTTAATTTTCATTTATCAGACCATTCTTGTAGACAGATCAATCTGTAATCAAATTTTTACCAATATCCATGTCAATGATTATTTAAAATTCAGAATTTTTTTTTAGAAGTTGTCAACTCTCATATATTTTCTCAATAAAACCTCATGACTGAAATATTTCTAACACACCATAATAATTCCAGCAAGGATAAATAAAACACACCAATACAATTGACATAAATTGGTTGGATAAAAACATAACCAGTGTTTAATGATGACAGATGGCATACATACATTGTAACTGCCGGATAATATAAGATAGCTAAAGCTGTGTTCCATTTCTGACAGGACCCAGATACATAATGTCTAAAATTAATTGAAGAACTATAGTAAATTTTTTGGACTTTATACCAAAACAGTGAAAAGTTTGTTTAAACCTTATCTTAATTTCAATATGGCAACTGAAATAAATTGCTGACAAAATGCTTAGAACACCAAGATAATGTAACATTTATACTACAATATAATATCAGATTTTGACGATTTTTTATGAAGAGCTTAACATAATTGGCCACTTATATAACATTAACAGGATATGCTAACCACTGACATATGATGCATGATTGTACAATTAACTGTGCAGAAAATAAACAGATTGAACTTAAGGGTTTTCCTTAAATTTCATACAATCAGGTGACTGTTACTTACAACTAAGTCCCAAATGGTACAATGTCTGATCTTTTTACAATTATTGTGATACACATTTAATTCTTACATGTAAATTTACATAACTTTATTTTTGTATCAAGCCAATTATTTCATTAACTATTTTATTAAGCCTATTAACTTTTTTTATCAAGCCAATTATTTGATTACAGTAACTATTTTCTTTTTTAATTCAGGTTTACTTTACTGACTTTGCCTGCAGCCTGGACTTGCGGTGGGCACTAAGTATACACATACTGTATATCAGGCCAATTTCTGTATAGTAGTAATATATTTTAAACAAAGCATATTATGTTTATACCTTAACATAAATTATGTTTACAAAAATGTTCTCTTCACTCTACTCCAACAATATAAACATTGGTAAACAAACGATCATAATACTATTTTCATTTCATATTTATACAATGTATAATATATATACATGAATGCAAGTTCAAAATTTTCGAAAACGGTCTGAAACCTGAATTTAGAATTATTTTAATGGGTTTACATGTTTTATGGAAAAAACATGCTTTCAAGTCCATAAATTCAGGCAAATGCATGAAAATTTTGTACCCATGTATATATGAATTCTGGCATAAAAAAATTTGGCATATCTGCTAAAAACCCTCTGTTATATTACAGACCTGGCAATAAACAATATCGATCAGCGCCATGGAGAGTATCAGTTTTTTTCACTATACATAAATGTTTTATTCATCTCACTGAATGGTTTGCCAGTAGATTGGGAGACTAAAAGCATTTGAGCTGTGTCACGACAAAACCAACAATAGTGTGTTTGCGACCAGCATGGATCCAGACCAGCCTGCGTATCCGTGCAGTCTGATCAGGATCTATGCTGTTCGCTTACAAACCCTATAACAAGTAGAGGAACTGATAACGAACAGTATGAATCCTGATCAGACTGCGCGGATGCGCAGGCTGGTCTGGATCCATGCTGGTCGCAAACCCATTATGCTGGTTTTGTCGTGACGCCACTCATTTACAACTAATTCTAGATGTAATGAAAGCCGTAACCATTCAAAAGATGGGCAAGAAACCCTTGTCTTATATATAATATTATATTCAATATCAAATTCATCAGAAAGGAAAAGAAAGAAAACTTAGAGAAGAAAATATCAATTATGTATTTCCTTCTAGAGAGATTGAATTGATGTGTATTGTGACTCAAATATATTACAGTCTGCAACAGAATATTTGCAGCTGTAATTTCAGACATTGCTGAATGTTACGCCACATGGTTTTGTTACCAATTCCAAAGATATTGTTATTTTTAATATGGTGACTTTTTCCTGCTGTTTTAAGTTCTGAAGCCATATGGCAAATTTCCTAGTTTATCACTGGTCAAGCAAGGAACCAACATGCCTAATATCAGGAAAATACAAAAAACCTAGGGAGATGCACCAAAATTTTGCAAGTTTTGATGAGTAGCTTTTTTCATGATTATTTCAGGAAAACGAGACAAAAATACATGTAGCCAGTGATTTTATGTATATTATTTCTGCAGAGCATAGCACAATCATGCCAATTGCAAGGTGATATTAATTCTTTTACTGAAAGCAAAGCATGAATATCAAAAGTTGACAAAATGTTTCTTCAGACAAAATTTTTTCCGCCAATCTCTGTAAGGCTGTACAGTATCTACTTTAACTATAACTTAATAAATAAAGTAAACACAACTTTATGGCCTAGCTTTATCATAAACTCTATAGTATGTTTAAGATAGAACAAAAATATAGTAATTAAACTAATTCAACAAAAAGTGTACCAGTTTGAACTTCGGCATTGTTTTTACATTGGAACTGAAATAATGGAGCCAATATATGACAAAATATTGTTCTAAAGTCAAAACATAAACTGAATGACAGCCAAAAACTACGAACAGATATGCTCAATTAATAACAAACAAATTTTCCGCAACAAAACAACTCCAGTGTTTTATACGAGTTTTAATGAGACTGGATGGAAACATATATGTAGAATTGTAATGCAATCTTGACAATCTAGACTAAAGAATGTTTTTAAGCACATTCAAGTCTAATGAGTTTCTAAATCATGGGTGTAGATCACCATCAAACAATGAAGGTGTGTATATAAACAGAATTCAGGTCATTCTCAATTTATTTCGTTAATGGATTAGAAAATACTGGCCTTTAGTCCCTTATGAAAAAGGAGAAATTTCTCACTATTAAAACAAATGCATATGTTGATTAGCCACCCTGGACCAAAGCAAAAATTTCATAAATTGTAAGCAATTTTCTGATTTTGTCTTTTTATAGACCTTCATGATAAATTAATCAGGCATTCAATTGTTGTTGGGATATGAAATTTTACAGATCTATTATATAATTTCTGCTTATTAATGAGCCTAAATATATTAATTTTGTGTACACTGAACTTTTACCCAAGTTTTAAACTTAAAACTGCCCATCATTTGATCATTATCAATAACCGAGAGTTCAATACTGAAATATTAAAATCAGACTGGTCACTGTTCTTATGCATAAACCACTATTTAAGACTCCATACTACAGGCATAAAGCTAAGCATTCTGAGATAAAACACCATCTTCAGATTCTAAATTTGACTTCACTTCTCATTTTTTGTAATTACAGAAATTCTTAAAATAAACCAGAAGTCTTAAAATAAAATTCATTTAAAGTTATTTCAATCTATTATTACATGGTTGCAGAGAATCTACAGAAGCTAAAAATAGCATTATGATTCAACGCATTTTCCGCTGCATGACTGTCCTTGTGATAAACCACTGAATACTTGAGGTTATAAAAAACTGCCTACTTATTTTATTTATAAATACTACTTTATTATCATTAAAGAATGTAATTAAAACTATGATATTTATTAAACCTTATCCTGCTGAAACCAGAAGTGATCAGCCTTTGGCACCAGTATTGAGCCAGGGCAGCCTGCACATCCATACAGTCTGTCCGGGTTCAATACTGTTGGCTGACCAATTTTCATCTTTATATCCCTTGGCTAAAATTGATAATGGGCAGTTTCAAAAATGATAGCCAGACAATTCAGCAGGTTAAGTGTTAATAACAAGAATCATATTCATGTAGTTTATTTGAATGATAGAGAAAATGTCATTCTTAATAGAACAAGATTGGCGTTTGTTTAGTTTTTAGCCACGACATGAACCTCAAAAAAAACCTTAGCCTGATTGTATTTTTCACCATATTTTTTTTGTTTTGCAACAACACAGAATAGGTCATGAGGGGACTTTCCCACTTATCAGTGGAGGAACACCTTAGGACTGCCCCTCTTTACATTATTTCACGCACAAACAGCATGAACAGGTCTACCTATATACTTTAAAATGACAAAAAGTAAGTATTTAATAAATCATTTAACTGTGACTTGTAAACTCACTGTCTGATATTGAAACAATAATTGAAACTGTTCATTTCAACTTCTTATGGCTAAGAGTATGATTGTATTTGTCATCATGAAATATTTACACTCTTGTCTGTATGACATTAATGCCCCCGTAAAACAATTGATCTGTGTATGTCAAAAGCTTACCTAAACATCTGAATGGTGAAACTTTCATATGGGTTTTCTTGTCATCTGGTCCATTGAACTTGGGCCACGCTGGAATCTCGAGTTTATAACTGGTCTCTATCACATTTTTGATATCATGATCTGGGTAGACCTGTAACAAGAGAATGTTAAACTTTCAGATGATTTATAATTGTTTTGATATCGTTTTGATATGACATGGTTTAATTAATTTCAACTTTTCCCCCCACCAAATTTACCCATTATTGGCATAGCCTGCTGGTGGCCAATGAATCTTTCCATGTGACCAGTGCAGACCAAGATCAGCCTGCACATCAATGATGGTCTACATTGTTCGCTATTCAGTCAGTACAAGACTGGATGATGGTTTTGTCCAGTGCAGGCCCTAGTCAGACTGCTATTCTTTAACATCACTATGGTTTTTCCATTTTGTTCAACTTTTTTTAAAACACCTATGCTGTGACTTGCTGTCAAGCACTTCATCAAATTTTTACTCCTGGAAGACAGTGGTGGATGGGGGAGAATTTCATACAAACATTTAATAGTTTGAAATATTCAATACTTCATGTACATGATTACTAGCTACATTCACTGTAGGATTTATTAACTTATCTACTGGGCACACATTGGTTCTGATACACAATGTTAACGTATTATCAATTTACAACGCCTATCAATATATGTTTTTCTTTATCAATAAACCATGAAAATGTCACAGTCCTGGGCTGCCTGAACAAATTCAATATAGACTTTTTTTATCAGATTGACAATATCAGTCAAATATGTCTCTAGGTCAAGGCAGTATTTCAACAAAGTTTTAATTGTAATAATATCAAAATCTGATCTAGGCCAGTAAACCAAAACTATTTTGGAAAGGTGCCATACATCTCAAATATCTAACTGACAGTTTCTCTATTCAGTTTATAAAGAAGTTTTACCTATACTGCTGTATACAGACATGCAGTACAATTCACATGTGTGTGTAAAATATTTAAAATTTGAAAAAGAATCAACCTTATAAAACTGCAAGAATTTAAAGCATGCAGAATATGTCATGTCATTAATGTAACATCAGTAACTTTACATTTAACAAAATTTAAACACATTTAAAGTGCATAATTATATAGTGTCATTATATCCCTTTTTCTTCATAAAGGCATACCTAGTTTTATCTATACAAGCCTTCATCTGATTTTAAATTTCGTTATCTACAACAAATAATCTCTATTTTTAAACATGAAATAATAAAAACCGAAACTTTTACTTCAAAAAAGGTACTATTGTTAGTATTACATAATTGCATAATCATTTAGAAAACCATTTTTTACTCATATATTTATTTATAACTTTGAATTGATATCTTTCTGGACTTCCCCTTTAAAAATTATTTTGGCTCTGTTGGTGTTTTTTTTTTGTGTGTCACCACGTAGAATTTGATATTGTCATAACAGTCTAATATCCACATTTAACTTATTAAGAATAAAATAAGTGGATTAATGCTAAGCTGGGCAGCTCTTTTTTTTTACACCTTTTGCCATTTTGAATGCCCTAATAACTTGTTTCCCTTAAAAAATATCAATGCAACAGCTTACATTTATATTTCACTATCTACACAAGGGCTTAATTTTTCCTTATATAATTGTGTCACTGTGGCACAGACCTGTTTGTCAAAGCCGGTAAATTCTACCAGGGCTTCTTTCTAAAAGTTTTGTTCCATTATATTTAATAAGTCACCATTTTTCTCGTTTTTTGGGGATGTTTTTCAAAGTTTATAAAAAAATAAAATCACAATACATTTTTTCAATTCTTTTTTTATGCATTTAAGCTCAGCATTAAAATTTTCAGTAAGTATGGTAACAAGTCATTATTTTAGGATACTAAAAAACCTTCAATTGAACTCAGAAATGTATTATTTGTAGTAAAAAAAATACCCCACTTTTGAACTCAGTATTGATCAGCTGGTAAACCAATAATGAGTCATAGACCCTTTAACTGTAAAATCTCTTTTATCTCCAATATAACTTATGACAAAAAGTATTTAATTATAGATTATCCTTATTGCATTACTGAAACAATACATCAATCACTTGAATTTATAGGACTCCTATATTATTCCAGTAATAACTCTGTCTTCTAAGAAAATGCTCATTAAATCGGAACCATGGTTTCCATATGTGACTACATTCTTTTCCTTTCTCCCAATTTTGACCACTGAAATACCTCATTTACTTGATTTAGATGAAAAACATTTTTCCCCCCAAACTAAACAAATTACCATGACCGTATCAGACTATGTGCCGGTCTGTGACCCAATTAATGGCAAAATGCCAGTAGCCCATTGACATCACTATAGTCAATAGCTCCCATTGTCAAGTAATAATGATGCAGGAAATCAATGAATGGATTTTCAGAATTTTTGTATGAATAATCGACTGTATTTGAAGTCATAGGAAGTTTTACTGGTACTTCTTTTCCAATTTTCCAAGTTTCATAATAATTATAACATTATGTGGTTTTAAACTATAACTGTATCTTTTATATGACTTAGGTTTTCCAGCATTTAGTATGACTCTATACAACTGACAGTGTACTAATTTTACAGACCCGTTTCAATAGCTTGTAGCCTTGCAAAACCATCTGCAATATGTGATGGACCACTTGCTTACTTTTAGCAATTTCTTTAACAATATTGAGAATGTCTGACTGTTACTTATATTAGACCATCTACTTTAGATATAACTCAGCTTCTTATTGAAATACCTGATACATATTTTATTAAAATAACAACTTCATTCTATATTCACATTTACATTTAGGCTTTTAGCTATCTGTTTTTGATTGCAAAAAATACACCCACTAAACAACAATCCGAGAATAAAGAATACTTTAATAATAAAGTGTAGTTTTACTGGCACATTGAGTCAATCATGATCGAGTCTACCTGCTAACATTATTAAGGTCAGTATAGGGAATGCATTGAACAAGGTGTCAATGGCTCGATCCACGTGCAAGCTATATTTCTCCACCATTGACTCTCATGGTCATTTTTATCAAACAGCTGGTTCAGAAAACATGTGGGATTACATGTAGTAGTGGTCACTTGTAGAGAAATTAGTAATTACAGTTACTACTTTATAGTTATCCAGGAAAGCCAGCAAGGTGGACTGTCAGCAAAGATATTAAAGATATAACCCAAAATCTACTAAATAAATAAGACAATGGGCACATTCTAAAAATCTATAATATAGGCCATGCTAGAAATGATTTTCCCTGTTAATTATACAGCAGCCCAGAGCCTTGATAATGTCAGATGAAAATGGAGCAAAAGTTTTTGTCAATAAATGTTCTGTTATATTGAAACAGAGAAAGAAAAACACACTTAGGTAAAGATAACATAAATGTACACATTAACTGATTTATCATGAAACAAATTAATAACATTTTATGTTATCTTAACGCACTGTCTAAATAAAATATTGTGCCCATTAGAAAAATGCAAGCTTGCTGATTTGTGACTGTTTCCCATTTTCTCTACAAATTACAGAGGGCTGTCAGAGCAAGGAACCATACTTTTCCTGACAAAATAAACCCCAGACAGGAATGGTTAATAAAACATACTACAAAAGTTTTAAACACTAGTGTTACATAGCTGCTCTTAATTTTATGACATCATAAAATACACTATAAGGTATTAAATGTTGAATATTTAATATAAAATAACATCACGTCAACAGAACAGGGAAAAATAATTTTTGGACCAATGGATATGAACATCATCGTGTCAAATGCTTATAATTTTAAATCTGCGAGTCAAAAGTGAAAAAAAAATTGAGCTTGTTTAGTTGATTTTTGTATCAATTTTAACACACTTTTGGTCATAAAAAGCTAGTTAGATAGAACAAAAACAGAGATATGACTCATATCTCTGTTTTTGTTCTATCTAACTAGCTTTCATGGATAACTAACCAGTGATTTACCAATTTCTCTGCAAGTGATCAATTACTAAGCCAATGTGATTTCTGAATCAGTTGTGAGTTTGGGAGAAGTTGACCGCCAGTACAGTTACACCCAAGCAACATGCATTTTTTTGTCACATAAGTAAATTCTGCAGGTGCTAAATGCTGACAAGAAGACAACACAGTATAGGGTATTCTTAAAAAGTTTCAATTAAAATGTAAATAAACAGGGTTTTGGTCATCCAAACCTATAGGCCTATCTTTTCAGTAAATTTAAATTCTACACCAGTGCCTATGACTCATCTAACTAGGGTAATTAAGCCAATTATAACTCAAGACCGAACAGGAGAATCACTATCTGAAACAAATGATGTCTTTCCAATTTAAGTCAACAGACTAATCAATTTACATATATCGTGTTACACAAGCTGGGATTCATAAACCAGTTTTACAACTAACAATTGTACAGTATAATATATCTGTGTCTAAAGATCCAGCAAGATCCAGCAAAACCAACCATCTTTAAATTTTAAACCATAATTCAAATTTGAATAATGGAATAAATCAACTTAAGAAATTTTCATACTAGTTCAAAATTTAATGAATCGATGAAAGAAAATGTCCAAAAATAAAATTAGAAACAAAATTAATGAGGTTTTGCACTAGTAGCACTTGACATGCTCTTCTGTTGTATATTAATCTTTAAACTGCGTATTTTGAATTTGTGGAATGTAACTGGCCTGCATTGCATTTGAAGGGTTTTTTTATATATCTTTTAGTGGTACACTACTGATAGTGGTAAGATGACCTAATAGGCTCTAGAATGGATCTATCAAGACTAGCTTCGCCATCATAAGCTATGAATAACATGACACATAATTATGTACTATGTGCCTGCTATAAAAATTTTGTTACTGTGCTTCATTTATGCAGAGTCAAAACACTTTTTTGGACATAATTATTCAGAATTATAACCTACCTTTTTACAATATTCTAGAATTTCTGCTGGGTCTTCCAAGCAATCTGTAGTAAAATCTGGTTCCCAGCCATTCACAACTCGGTGCATTGCTGGTTTATGGCAGAAAAAGGACACCTCTGGCTCAAACTTGTTCATGGCTGCATCTGCATGAGCCGCTAATGCCTGAAAATAGAAAACATAATATAATATAAGGTGTGTCATCGTCATTAAAATTTTCATAATGTGCTTTTATGACTTAAATACTTTCACACTTCAACTGTGAATAGCTATAATTAGCAGACATACAAATCTGTATTGTATTGCATCTACAATATGAGTTTTCATGAGACACCAGTCTAGTTTGTTATGAAGAGGTCACATCACATTCAAGCTAGTTTTTTATGTTATTTCTCTGATTTTTCTTTGTTGATGTTGTTTTCAAGTCAGGGTATATTGTTATTTTCATAAAATGCAAAGCTAATCAATCCATATTTTGTGCCATCTTCATTTTTTAAATTTTTCAACTCCATCAACTAAATAACCCTGACAAAAAAATTACAATCATGGAAAGAAACACGTATTTCCTTAATGATTTATATTAATATCATGATCAATCTGTCTTACACCATCAAACCATTTGCTACAAAATGATAAAATATAGCAAAGATGCTTAAAAAGAGATGTCCTTTTGTTTACCTTTGACATCTTAATATTTCATCAAGCATCTGATCTGGTATGCATGAGGTGTCCTTGCTTTAGCAAATTTAGATTTTATGTGCGGGTTTTATTATACTTTAATTTAATGATGATACTAAAATTTTAAAATAAATTGTATAGGGGCTTACAAAAGACACACTGTACAGATTACAGAATATGAAATAGTTAAAGATTATGCTTTACATGAACTACCAAACTAACTTACTAAGTTCATGATTTGTTTATAAGATAATTATATTTATTCTGAATACCTTTATGCATTAAATTTCATAATTTAAGGCATGTATAACGATTATTTGTAAGTATTAATAATACTAGTGCATGGCAGGTTATTCACATTTTGCCAGCATAAATTAATTTTTTTTATTATTAAACTATAAAATTTGCACATAACATAATAGTAGCATACACACTTGGGGGTGTTTAAATCATTCATACACTGATGCACATTTTATTGCATAGTTTAAAAGTTTGCTATATAAAGAGTGGGCATAATTGAAATATGTAGGTGAATCACAAAATGTTTTCCTAGGGTGCAGTACATTGTCATTTGTCATTCATTAATCTATCTCTGCTGAAACCTTAACCAAACCATACCTTTATAAAAACCAATTCATAGTAATCTTGTACGGGGATTACAGCATTCAATGTGTAGGTAGACAAATAAAATAAGAATAAAGGAGAAAATAAATTGGTCTCAACTGAAACATACACGATAATCCAAAATAAATGGTGTTTTTAAGTGGGTTCATGTTTTTATATTTTCTTTCTTAAATACAAGTTTTATTAACAGTACATTGTGGTTAAAATCATAAATTTTATAATTCACATTTTTAATCCTTTGGATATATACAAATATACTACATGTAATTTATGAGAAAAGATCTTTATCATTGTGCATTTGTGTTTGGCAAGGAGTGCAGTGAAATGTTAACATGGGTTTTCTTGTTCACAATCCATTTTTATTGAACAAACAAGGATTGATCTATGCTTCATCACTGTGTTGGGAAATGAACAGGTACATAATTTACAAGAAAATGTAATTATCAATTATGTAGCTTAAGTGACAGAAAATGGATATTGTGTATCCACACAGCCTCTGGGTATGTGTTGTGTCACTGAATACATATTACTGTGACCACATTATTAGCACACACCCTTTCTTGTCTTACTCTAGCTTACTTGACATTTTTTGCTTAGTTTAAAGTACAATTATTTAAAATCTATCTGTATCACAATTTATTTAGTTTAAAGTGACTTTTGGGACCCATTCTCCTCCTGAAAAAGTATGTATTTTCCCCCAATAATAAAACAATTTCCCCCCATAATTTTTATTCGCTCTAAATGATTTGACATAAAATTAATTGAGGAAAGCAGTGCCTACTTTCTCAAAATGTGAAAACCAATCACTGGGTTGATAAATTCACATGCTAATCCTTAATCAAAAGCAGACCCTGCTAAATTACATGTCATAGTCCTTATTATTTGAATTTGGAAACATCCATTACTTAGTTTGAGGGTGATCAACATTACAAAAACCCAATAGCAGACACAGACTGCATCAATGATGTTTAACCTGCCTGGCTCCACGAGGAAGACATTCTTATATCACTTCTAGATCTATACTCTAATAGTTCAATGGAACAGAACAGAACTCTTCAAATAGTTCAAAAGACAACATGTCAAAGATGGACAGTCTCATTTTCTTTATAGCATAAAACTAATTTCTAAAACAAGTTCAAGATGTAATGTCAGATCGAACTATTTATTAACTTACAAACAATTTATAACAAATCACCTTTTCCAACCTAGCATTCAGCTTATGATTAACATTGTATTTTGCTTCTGTACTTTATTAAGCAACCTTGCGCCCTGAAAGTTAACATTATCTTAATGTATGAAGTGACTGTGTCGGAGTATCAGTACTATCACATTATATTTATTTTTTCTCTCAAAATTTATATTCTAACTGTTGTATACATTTCACACATTTTCCAATATTTTTGAAGAGAAATAAAAAAAAATGCGGATAAATATCTGTATTCTGTAAGGTAACTGGTTTTAAGAGGTTCCTCACCTATTTAATCCTACATACAATCATGTATGTCAAAAGTTTGTGATTGGTGGTGAGACCTTTCAAAAAACAGCTGATTTAAAGCTCTATTAAGATTAGTGTTCCCTATTACATCCTGCTTGTAGACTTAAATACAGGAAAAAGATAAGATTGAACGATAAAAGAATTACTATAATCAGATTAAATGAAGGTTGTTAAAACTTCTTTGATAAATTCTTGTTTTCAAAAAACATTTTGTCATGCAGACATGGCTTGGCTAAAACTAATAAGTGACACTGTATACACTATATTTCAGTCTATAAATTACATGTATAATACATAACTGAAAAACTTATTCTTATACGATAGATGTCAGCCTGTGTGTCAATCTTGTTAAAAACTGAGGGTTTACGTTCAAACTTCAATATATCCTTATCCCATTGGCCAAAAGAAATTCAATGTAAAAAATGACCTTCAAAGAGACAAGCCCTTTCTCAAAAAAAAATTATTAGAACTGTCAATGTATCGTTGATTCGTTGATATTTTTCTGTTGATCAATAATTGATACACAGTTGAAAAATTTCATTATTTTGAATAATTATAAATTATGGAAATTCACTAAAAACATATACATGTACAAAAGCAGGTAGCCATGTCTAACACTAAGCTTTTGTTACATAATGGTCACATTTCATAGCAGTGGTGACAAAATATAGTCAGAAAAAAAATCATGCAACGGTCCTTTAGAAACAGGACAAAAAATATTTGCATGAACAGAACATTTATTTTACTAAAATCATTTTAACAGGTATGAAAAAAAAATTATATACAAGAAAGTACAGGTATGAAAAAATAATTATATACAAGAAAGTAAGGGTATCTAACATTGATATATCGGTGTATTTCCGATATTGATGTATCTTCAATATATATGCTTTGCACTAAGGCTCCCACGTTTACATTTTTTTGTAAACGTTTACACGATTGCTAAGAACCGAAACGATACCGTTTAAACGGTGGTACTTCTATGTACTATACTACACCATGTATTCGAGTCGGCAAATGATGACATACTTTCTATTTTTAATACATGTACAAATAAATAATGTCCAGGGCTCATCACGATTGTGTCGGCACACATTTTCTGCATCGTATCCCCATTTTGCTCTTTTGAAAGATCAAAGAAAAATCAACTTTACTAAAAATGTATTATGCCACAAGCGATTATTGCACGGTGATGCTGTGCGTAGGGTTGTAAACACCTTTTTTTACTTTGGAATAAACCAATTGGAATTGATAAAAGCCGTGATTGCAGGCAATGATTAAGATATTTTGAAGACAATATGGTCATTTCGATTAAACGGTAAAAAATATCGTAAACGTTTAGGAATGAAAATCGAAACGAATCCGTTTAAACGTTTAACCGTGGGGGCCTTACTTTGCACTGAATTAATGACAGCTCTAATAAATTTTTAAAGAAACTACAACACAAAATCAAATCATGTAAATAATATGAATCATTATGAAGCTGCATTATTGTTCTTAGGGTCTGCTAAAATTACTTTACTGTCAATATCATTAAAAAGAATCCATTTGTGATTGTAAAATTATTTCTTTTTCTCGCAGGATCAGGATGTTTTAATAAAACATCTTACATTCCGCACATTATGGTTATAATTTATATACAGATATTTGAGAAAATTTAAAAGAGGTATTTTCTGTAATTCATAGCCTCATTGATAGAGGGAATATATATTAATTTATATTTGGTAATACTATTAGTATAAATAGTATGGAATCTAATTAAACTGACTCTGAGTTGATAATATAGTAAAACAAGTATTGAAAAAGTATATTACTAGTAGTAGTACATGCAATAAATGTCAACTAGTGAAAGATATCTTATTTTCTTAAGAAGGAGTATGTTACATAGTAATTAGTATAATTGGGTTTCTTTTACAAAAACAGTTTGTACACATGTTTCTTTTTAGCAATAGAACCAGTATAAAGAGCAGCAATTTTTATCACAACATTGATATGATAGAGAAAATATTTACTTATTTGTAATATTTATATGACAAATTATTTATTTGTTATCAGTATTTTTTTCTGTTATCACCAGTGACAAAACTACAGATATCCAAATTATCCATAGGCTTTCACACATGCAAAAATAATCTCCATTTTTTATCTTTTAAAAACATTTAATGATTTAGACGAATTAGCAGTCTGAACCAAGAAATGTTCGATTCTAAACTTTAACATAATATTTTAATGGCAATAAATGCCAGTTGAAGGAATCCAGAGAAGTGCATGGCACAATGAAAAAAACGTTCAATTTTTATACAGGGTGATTTCACTGACACCGAGAACACTGGAGAAAGTGGCTGGGCAATCTGCTTTCAAAAATATGTTTAATTCCATTCATATTTACCTCCATGTAAGAAAATCCTGTCTTGAAACATAAGACTAGAGTAATAAATAACACTGGACCGCTTTTTGGCCCCATGATTTCCTCAAATTTCACGAAATTTTAGCTAAATCCTTTCAACACAAGGCGAGTTGCAAATTGATCAACAGAGAAAATGGCGACGTGACGTCATATCTCATTATGCGAACCGATGTGCAGATGTTAAAATGAATTTGATTGGCGTATCGGAATTTTGCAAAATTCACCATTTCAAGTGGCAGAAATGAAGAAAAAATGTTTTGCAAGGAATGATTTTATAAGTTAGTATCAAATATTGCTTTAAATATTTAAATAATGCTTTGATAGTCTATCAAATCATTAACGAGCATGAAATGTATGTTTTTGTTCTTTTGCTATTGTCCAATGACAGCCCCTGTTTCATGTAATTTCACCTGTTTAACATAAACATTAGAGGATCACCGCATGACAGAATTTATACATGTATAATTGTGCCATATGTTAGAATTTCACAGAAAATGCAGTTATTTCCAAAATACCCGAATGACAGTGAAAGTTGAACAGGTATTTTGAAAACTTCTTGTTGATTGAACATTTTGGGAGGTCAGCAACGATTGCTATATTATTTTTTTGACAACAGAATTATGGAATTGTTGCAAAAATTATGTTTCATATGTACAAAATTGTGTATAATGTAGGCTATACAGTAGTTCAGCCTCAGCCTTTAATTATATGCCATGGCACCTTGATATTGAATGCATGTGTTTGATATGGCACCATGTTACAGTTTGTATATTTTGATTGGTAGCTTGTAATTACGTTTTAAACTGTGATTATACTAGGCCCTTGGTATTGTAAATATTTGTGAGAAATTTGAATAATAAGGATAATAGATAGTAGATCTACATTGAAAGTGGCATAAGTGCACTATCATAGCAGTGAACTATCATTGCTTACCCCTGTCACGCTAGGGTGGCATTCTCACGGCATCCAAAGAAGATTCAAAATGTCGAGATGAGCGCAGTAAGATTGCAAGTATTGCTGCAGTATTGCAGTGGCATCGAATAGAACGCTGACAGATGGCACACATTTTGAGCATGCTCTAAGCAAATGTGGTCACTCGGCATTCTCAAAACAGGCAGCACAATTGGATCACAGTAAAGACACCGTAGAAAGTTAGTAGCATCTCCTACGATGCAACAGTCCTGAGCACTGTGATAGCGCCAAAGGATCACCGAATAAACACCATGGTCCCTAATGTATTGAAATTTATTTTATGATTTCAGATGTGTAGTTTATAACTGTAAGCTTTGAAGAAGACAGAAAATGGGTGAGCAGGAGAGGGTATTGGGTGCAAGGCCGAAGAAGACAAGATTTGAGCCGGCAGAGGAACAGCATGAGCTGCTGGAGCAGCGCCGGTACTTTAGCATATTTGGCAAGATTCCAAAGAGATATGTTGTGGGCATAATGGCCTTCTTTGGCTTCTGTGAGTATGCTTCTATAATATTTATGTAGATATACTTTCAGCATTCAGACATGGATATTTTATATTTGAATGTGAAGGGAATTACCTTTGACTACGGATCTGTTACAAATATATTATATATAATAGGTGTATAGCATTGTAGCATTTCTGCATTATACCAGCTACATATAAAATTAAGAAAAAAATCATTTTAACATAAACATATATTATAAATCGATACTTGGCATTAGAGAAAACAGGACTATCACATATGACTTATTCCAGATATTAACATTTTTCAACCAGTATTACATGTGACCTCCATGGTCAAGCATTCAAGGTCACTAACCTAGAACCACTTGCTGTTGGTTTAAATTTGTCCTGGATATATGGATTCTTTTATGTGAGGAAGGTTTACACAAGGTTTTACTAGAATTTTTCTAAGATGGTTTGTCTTGAATTTGAGGCAGTGATTATTTGTTTTATCACCCTTAGGGTAAGTTTTTGCTTGTATGTTTGTTTTCCAAAATTTTTCGTGCAAGTTGGTATCTTCAAACTACTGAAGAGAAAGATTTGAAACTTCACACTCTTGATCGCTGTGATTATCTTACATAATGGGCACAGGTCCCATATCTATGAGTTACTTTTTTACAGAGTTATGTCCCATTTCTTAATGTCAAGCACTGAGAATATTCGAGAAATTGGAAATTGATTTATGGACAACTTTGGTTTCAGCAATAATTCCATGCAATACTAATGGACAGTTAAAGCAGGGCAAGTCCAACGCAAAAAATTTGCAGTGATATAGCTTACTTGTGAACTTTTTTCGATGATCAAGTGGGAGATTTTTCTTCAAAAAGAGTGAGATATTAGAATTTGCAATAAACAAAGAAGGAAGTTCTGACATCAAAAATAGGGTGATTTCTTTAATTTGTGAGAATACTCCTTATTTTAAGAAAAATCTTTGAAAATATGGCTGCAGAAAATGGGAGTCTCCCGCTAAAAGTAGGAGAGTTCACATGTATGATATAGCTTACTGTATGATAAAGACCTGTGTAAAAAAATTTATTTAAACATTAATTTCAATTATGAATAATGTGTTTAATTACAGGTAACATTTATGCACTAAGAGTGAATCTTAGTGTTGCTGTGGTTGCCATGACGACAAATCATACACGGTATCTAGGTGGCAATAAATCGGTGGTATGTCATTTTAATATTGTATGATTATTTTTAATTTGCTCTATAATAGTAGCTTTCTGAACATTTGCAGCAATAATTGTGTTATTTTAATTTCATTACACACTTTTAAGTAGAGAGTGAAATTATATTTTGATAACTTCACCGTGAAATTATTGACTATTTAACAGTGAAATTATGAATAATTTAACAGTGAAATTATATATAAATATAAGTTCACAGTAGCTAAATTATGTTTGAAAGTGGATGAAATATATATATCAATGGAAATTTCATCAAAAATACACGTTGAAAAGTAAAATGTGCCTGATAGCGGGATGCACATCATGTTTTTAGTAACAGAGTTACAGAAATTTTATTGAACTATTTTACAATATGAGTACTGTGGTAATATCATAAAGGAGAGCTTGTGATGTTGTTTGGCACAAAGCATTATACAAATCTGATTCTACTATAAAGTTTGTTTTGCATGTAACGTGTGGTAACTTCAAAACTAAGCTGTGCTGTTTTGCTGTAAAAAATAAGTCAAAATGACTATAAACTGCTGAAAAAGCATAAGATTAATCTAAGTTAGTCTTCTAGACAATTTTTTTGCATGTAAGGTGTGCCTACTTTAAACTAAGCTGTGATATTTTTGCTGTGCTGTATTTAGAGTTACAAAAGGTGTCCCTGTTTAGTATATAGCTGATTTTTTTTTATCACATTTCCATATATTTTGCTTGGGATTATTTAATGATATGAATCCAGTCACAAGTCAGATGGTGAACAGTTCTAGTGGCAGCATCTGTGATTGAAAAAAATGTATCTGTGGTCCTCATACACTGTGAAAGCTGGAATGTTGCCATATTGTACCATAATGTTTAGTGTAACTTGAAACTTAATTAAACAAAAAACGAAAACTAAATTACGTAAATTGTAGGAAATTAGCCATTCCAAGTTGACAATTATGTTTGAAAAGAATAAAAAATGAAGCGTACTTTTATTGTTAAGCAGTTGGAATTGCTGTTAATTGGTAGAAAATTGTGTGTAAAAAGTAATGAAATAATGTTTTTTGCAGGCAAAATCACTTATCATACAAATTGTAAAGATTAATCCTAAACATTCTGATTTTGTGTTATAAATTTGCCCTGCTTCATACACAAAAAAATTGGACTTATGGTTAGTTAGTATTTTTACTCAGGTACCCGTTTGTGCCTGATATAATGTACAGAGAGGCACCTGAGGTCTTCCTCCACCAGTCACCATACTGTGTTGGTGTGACATAAAACCTTACCTATCCAAACAAAAACAAAACAAAAAACTGGCATAGTCCATTCAAAGTTAAAGGGATTTCAATACAAAAAAAAATTGAGTTACCAACAGTATAGACCTATGTCAGACTGTCAGGACATGCATGCTATTGATGGAAAATCACTTTGGGTTCCACCTGATAAAAGGGTTAAAACTGCTGGAACTGCTGTTAATTGATACACAATATTGTGTAAAAAAAACAAAAAAAACAACAACATAATTTTACAAATGGTCAAAATCTAAAATGCAAAGATTAGACATTAGATGACATATCACATGATACAATGTATATACCTTTATTCTTATACAGACTGTACTGCCAGACTTCCACTGGGATTCACACACAAAGGGCATCATTCTAGGGTCTTTCTTCTATGGTTATATATTCACTCAAATTCCTGGAGGTAAGAAAAATGGTCATGTATGGATGTATATAATTATTCCCATGTGTTGTTATATTTTGATTGATGTCCTACTTGTACTATAAGATTATCAGTTTGTTTATGTGATGAAAATTTTCACTGCTTTGTTTAAATGTCAAAAAACATTATTAAGGCCAATATCAAATTTCCAGTTTCACTAGTAAAATGAGACACTTAAGACTTTACTAAAAAATTTGAGACAGCCTTTAAAAGCAACCAAACAAATACAGAATATTTTTGAGCATAAATTTAAGCATGTTGATCCATCAATTATCACATCATACTAACTGGGAAGTAGATTGTCGTGGGTCATGACCTTACATCAGAATCCCTTAGATTTTCTTTCAATATGATAGTTAAAGAAATGTCAAAACATATTTTAAAGAAATGATAAGTTTAATGGTGACAGCTATGAGCTTTCTCAAGGTAGGTATATATAGTCTATCCAAACCTAAGTGCACTCCCTAAGCAAAAATATTGCACAGGTCTGTTTTCACAGTTAAAGCTGTAAAGTGACCGTAGAATCTCAGAAATTTTGGGTTGACTTTAATTAATACAGATTGGAAAAAATATTTCCATGAAAAAATTTTATCGTGGAAAAAAATTAAATATTAGAAGGTAGATCTGAATGTACCATGTTAAAAGAATATAAAATAAAAGCAAAAAAAAGCATATAGAGTAATCGGGGAAAAGAACATGGGTAAAACTTTATTGAGTAAGTATAAGTTTTAATATTTTGTTAAAGAGAAAAGTGAACAAAATATGGGTTTTGTTTGATTAATCGAGCCTTTATTTTTTCCCACTTGTTAAAACGTTCTCATCCCTGAGTGTTTTACCACTTGTTAAAACGTTCTCCTTACCAAGGAGAGTCCCTTGGGTGTTACCTACATCGGTTAGCAACACTGCTGGTATTTATTTAAAAGCTATAATGCTGATTGTACTATGATTCCTGGCAGAATGAGCGAGTGCTATATTAAAATGTATTATACCAGTCTAAACGTACAGATACATCATAACCAGTCTGTCTAGACGGTAACTCACCATATTTGTCATAATCAATAATAGTTTGATCATGGAGAATTTCCGATTGATTTTCTCTTGGTCACAGTCCAACAGACATTACATAACATGCAAGCTAAGCAACATGCAAATTACATGATGTTATCCCAGACATTGTTTCATTTGTGTTCAAGATATTGATAACCATTCTGTTACAGTACGCTTGCTTAAATAAGTGGCAAACATTTTACATTACATCATGTAATACTTACAGGGAAGCAAATTGCTAATGACAGAAATTTAACTGTACGTAGCAGGCTAGCTTATGAATATTAAAATACGTAGGCAGTAAAATTTGAATCAGTGGATTTCATGATATTGGTAAATTTTGTTGGCAGACACTTTTTGAATAATTGATATAAGGTTATTTAACATTTACATTTAAAAGTTTTACCAAATTATCTGTCTTAAGTTCAATCTTGAATGGCAGTTCTCTCATTGGGCTCAATAGGGAGAGCATCGGATTTGTAATTCAGGGATGTCTGGTTTGATCCTCGGGCGAGGCAAAAAAATTTCCGTGAAGATTGATCCCGCACTTTGAGTCTAATGGTCATTTGTCTCTCACCATTGACTCAGAAATCATGTGGGATGTTGTCAGTAACTTGTCGAGCCATCGGCAAATACTGGTTAGTTATCTGTGTAAGACAGTTTGGTGAACAAACTGCCAAGATATAACCAAGAAAATGTTAGAATTGGCATGAAAACAAAACAAGCAAACAATATAAAGATATAAATATCAGAAAATAATAGGAATATTGCAGATATCATAAAGTTGCAAATACTTTTTTGCTGATTCTTCTAAAGTGTTATTATCATGTAAAATGATGTAATTCATTGTTATATGTAGGAGTATAGAAATATATTATAGATTTCAAAAAACAGAATGCCAAGGCCTGTTATGACATTACTGTATATTATAAAATAATAGATAACCATGGAAAGTTAATAACCTTGGAAAGTTGTGTCTTTCATAGATATGCATGACTACTATCAATATATTGTTCTAGATGGTTTATATCGAAGCATTGCTCATATTTACAGTATAATTCTACTATCAGTTAACATGATGTGAAACAAAACAATTGATTTCATTTAAGGAAGCTAGCTATACAGCAGTGGCGGAAAGGTCATTGAGAACACTTAAACAAAGCACAAAAGGGCATTTGAGTTTTTCCTTCACCAATTACTAGTAATTGACAGAATATGTGTTGAAACTAGACAAACCAACCACCTGTTAAAGCGGTGTGTCTTCATACGACATTACAAAAGTCAGTTTGACCAAACCAAAGCTAAAGACAAAAAGATTAAAGGCCACCTGTAAACATATATTGTATTTTTTAGGTGCATCTCATGGGTAACTGTTTTACATTGACAGGTTTGATGGTATTTAAAGTTAACAACAATGGTTAAGATATAAAGAAAGAAATTTTCATGTTATAATCTTGAACTATTTTAACCCTACTGGTAGCAACTGAAAATTCCTAAGTAACAAGTACAAACCATGATCAACTTGCTGACATGTTAGTACTTTCTGAATCATGCTATGTAGTTAAGTGTCAGTAAATAATTTCAGGTTATTTGGCTACCAAGATTGGTGGAAAGCTGCTGTTTGGTGGTGGGGTATTTCTAACAGCTGTGCTCACTTTACTAACACCATTGTGTGCTCGATGGAGTGTATATTTGTTAGTCGCAGCCAGAATACTTATGGGACTTTTTGAGGTAACTGTTTGTCTAGGTGCCTTTCAATGTAAGTAAATAAAAAAAAACAACTGGTAACCAGTGTACACTGTAAAAGGCTGGGTTTTTTTTGTGCTTGACTATACAAGGGAATTATGGGTTATTATTTTTGTCTTCTGTAAAATGAGGCTTTGTGGGATCTATAAGCGTGGGTTTGTGGGATATGATATGAAATAAAGAACAGATTATGTGTCCTCTTCAATTTATATACATGTACTTGTACATAAAGTAATAAAGGAGTGAATTTTTTTACCTTCAACAATTTTGTAAGATGAATGTGTTTTTATGTAACCTATTTTGTAAGGGTTATAAAGGGGTGGTTTTATGTTTTCTACAATGTGATGGAATAATTGTGTAAATTACAGTGTAATTTTATTATATGCAAGTTTTTTACAGTGTAATTCAATAATAAGCCATTTTTCTGTACCATATAATCCAATAAAAGGCCAGTTTTTTGTTTTCTACAAAACAAAGTAGTCTTCTTAGTCTAGAACTAAGAAATGAAAAAGAAAATGGCTGACTTTCAGAATTCAATACAATATGTTTGGAAAAATGATTTACTATCAGTCTCCCGTTTTCTACATTTGTCTATCTAATTATTAGTATTTCAATTTAAGCTGGTGAAAAAAGTAAAGGTAAAGATGATTAGGAAATTGTGCATGTGCTTTTGTCAGTTGTGGTGTCATTAAATGTTGTTTCCATGGAAACAAAACATATTGGACATGGAAATGATTTGTGAGAACCTGAAAAGAATATTGATTTTGGTTTAGCATCACACTATCTTTGAAATAATGAAGAATTAGTGTTTAGAAATAAGAAAAAAGTTAAGAATAAATTGTAAAACTTTCAATGTACTGTATCCCTGACAAAATGCTTGAATTTCAAGAAAGTAAGATGAAAATTTAATGAAGAGTTAGTTTAGAAATAGAGGGAAAAAGTTGAGAAAAAATTGTAAAACTTCCTATATTCTGTAGAAAGTAAGATGAAAATTGATCTACATAAAGTAATAGACCACTGTATTTTGAAGTTTTTGTATCTATAATAATCTACTTACTGTAAAAGTTCATTTGAATCATACTAGAAATGTATTAAATTTATTTCATGTTAGAAAGTTATATTGGTTCATCATTCTAAACAAGAATTAAGTGCTTGCTGGTGCATTAATGCCTACATGGGTGGTGGGGTTGGAGTTGAATTTGGGTTTCCTTTCAACAAAATAAAGTGTATCAGTGTCAAACGGACAAAAAGGAAACAAAACAAGTATAGTAAAATGTTGTAATGTTAATATTTCAGTACTAGGTGTACATGTACAATATATTTATTATTGCAGGGTGTGACATATCCATCCATTCACGCAATATGGGCGAAATGGGCTCCACCTCTTGAGAAAACAAAGTTGGCAACCCTAGCATTTTCAGGTACACTTTTGTTTTACATTATTGTTTTATATCAATGGAAAAATCTTTTACACAGCATGCCTTAAAAGTCATCTTTCTGTTTACAATTTCGCTCGTTGTGCTGACTTTTCAAAAAATAATGGTAAAAAATATAAGCATTATAGTTAAATGCTATTGATCTATGGAAATTACTGCCAAATATACTGTAGAATTATTCCGTATTAATGGCCCTGATCAGATATTGGAAATGTGTTGGTGCTAGCTGAATCCACATTATTCAACAGACAATATCGAATATTTTGCAAAGATTAATTGATGGACGAGTGTTTGAATATAAATGTTTACTGGCACGATTGTTTTTAAAGGGAAGAACAAATTTCTGTTCCATTACGGTAAATACCACTTTAGAATGATATTTTGAAAAGTCAGGAAATATTCGCATTAATTTACTACTTACATGTATTTAAGGGTCAGAAGTTTTTAAAAAAAGAAGATTTACCTGATAATTTTAAGAACTTATTAGTTAACTTGAAGGATAGATTAAATAATTAGTTAGACGGACAGATAAACTTAATTTCTGACATTGCTTTTACATTTAAACTTTGTATATGGATGCACCGAGATGAGTTTGTCTGTTTTCTACCTGCCACACCCATTTTTGGGTCAGAAGGTCAAAGTTAAGGTCATGGTGACCTTTAATCCAAATTATCTCTTTATTTAGAAAATGTGCAGTATATTATCCAGCACTAAGAAAAGTGGAGCATGCTGTACCTCAGAAAGTTCTTCGTGTATTTTAAAACTCAGAAGAAAAAAAGTATTGCCAAATAATTTTGCACATGTAGACTTGGAGTTATATTTTACTCTTACTTTTATGTTGTGAAATAAGTGTAATGTACTTGCTCTGCTTAATATTTGGAAAAGTCCATTCATAGTTTCAGAGATTTTGGTGAAATATAAACATTAAGCAATGTATAGATATCTGGAAAAAAGCAAAACCTCAGAAGCATTAAAATCAACAAAATTACATGTAATTGCAGAGTCTTGTGAAATGTACAGCGGCCGGGTGTCCTCGCTCTGTATTGTAACATTTAGTATAGTACTTTTTTTACTGATAACATTCAATTTATCTCAGATTTGTACACTTTTTTTTCCAAATATACCATTACCTCCATGAAAACAATATTCATGAACAAAAAAAGAACAGGCTATATTTATTCAGTTATTTATTGGGTAAAAGCATAGACATATTGATAAAAGTGTTAGTTGTAACATTTTATAAAGAAAGTGGTATATATTTTGTGAGAATGGTTCTAGACATTAAATTTTGGTTATAGATCAATAAATACAGTACAACCTCTGCAAAGCAACACCCATTTTGAAATAAAAATTTTTGGTTGATGCTGAGAGGTGATTGCTAAAGAGAGGTTGAATTTATTGTGAAAATTTACTTTGGGAAGAATTGATAACACTTAAGGAGTTTATTGATCAATAAAGGTTAAATGACCTTTCTGCATGGTTTCTCTGTTTACAGATCATGCTTTTGAAAGAATTGTTTTTATTAACAGACACTCTTCTCCATTATAGTTGTACAAAGATTCAGGTGGTTTTGAAAATATGGTTGCTATGGTTATTTCAGGGTCATATGTTGGTACAGTTATATCACTCCCTCTATCAGCAGCTCTCGCAGAAAGCAGTGCAGGATGGCCGGCCATATTTTATGTATTTGGTAAGCATTATTTGTTTAAATATTCAGCACAAAAGATGAAGCAAAAAGGTGAGAATGGTTGTTATGCTCTCCCTAAATGGTGGTATTTTATCTTTCATCTTTTATGTCTTTATTATAATCATTGTAATTACATGTACATGTATTTCAATAACAAAAACTTGTCAAAAAAAACAAAAACATGTACAATGTACATTGACAAAAAAATAATGTGACCCGTGTAATCACAACAACAATTTAGAACTTACATGATCACAACAACAATTTAGAACTTCTGCGATCACAATAACAATTAAGAATTTATGTGATCACAATAACAATAAAAATCAGTTCATTGATGAGGTTTTATTTCTTTAGGTTCAATAGCTGTGATTTGGTTTCTACTCTGGTGTTTTCTGGTAGCTAAGAGTCCAGCTAAACACCCATCTATTAGCAATAAGGAATTAGAATATATACAAGGCAATATAGGATACACTGATGAACAAACTCAGGTAAGTGAAAATAAGGTTATATATTTTCATAGAAGAGATGCGCTAGTTGAATTAAATGTGATAATTTAAACACTGATATGTAAGATCACTATAATTAAACTTTAAACTAAATGCAATGTTTGAAAATTTTTAAATCACATTAATAAAATCTTAGTCTTTTAAAAGTGATGTTAATTGCTTGCTCAGCTTTAAATCTTGAATTGTATGCTATAAGTTTGAATGATTTTTAAAAGCCCAATATTCCTCAAGAATTTTTATTCCTCAAAAACTTTTTGTATCTTGTTATCAAAAAATACTCATTTGTCACATAGATGATCTATCATTTGCTTTCTTTGCTCTGTTGGCTATTGGTATAATTATAGTGAATAAGTAATTAGTATGGAAGTCAAAATACTATTTTGTGTACATTTTGCTACCTTTATGACACATAACTTTACGTACAGCACTACTTTTTTCAGTTGTAAAATATCTTACATATTCTAAATCTTTTATTAAAACATTAAAGAACACATAAATGACATTTCTAAAAACTATAAAATATATGTAATTCTGAGGCATAATGTGCCTTTAATGTACAGAAACACTTGATTTAAGAAGCCAACAGTGTAGAGAGCATGGTCAGACTGGAATATATCAGATATTAATTAATTAACGCACAAAATAATGACCATATTTCCTGTATATTTTAGGATCTGAAGCCACCCTGGTTGAGTATGTTGACATCTCTACCAGTCTGGGCTATAGTTGCAGCCCACTTTGCAGAGAACTGGGGATTTTATACATGGCTTACTGAGCTACCATCTTTTATGAATGATGTATTACATTTTAACATGTACCAGGTAATGCACATAACTAACCAGTACTGGTGTCATATGAGGAAACATGGTTCGGGTATTTGCATACATGTTCTTGTTTTTCTCTGTTTCCTCTGACCAGAAATGCTTTTAAATTAATATTATAACCTTGAAGAGTGCAAGGACCACAAGACTATGCAAAAAACGAAATCAACTATATATTTAATGTATTGTTATTGTAAAAAAAATGCCAAACATTAATGTATCTCTAGTGTATTAATTCCTACAATTGTTACTAAACTGATAAAATTCTCATGTTGTCACAGATTATTACTTTAATATTTTAGTTGTCATGACATTATTTGTCTGCTCAGCTCTGTTAATAGATATTAAAGGTAATACATGTACCAGTAATGACTGTAGGATAAGGGGCGCTGGGGGACGAAGGAGACTTTGAACATTTAGACATATTAATTTTATTTGACTGAACTCGGTATTTCAAGACATATAAGTGTTTTATGAAAATGTTTTTATGGATTATCAGTTTTGATTTTTGTTCTATACACTTAAATAAAATATTTGTCATATCTGTCTATATTGTTTATACCTTACCATGCTTAATATCTTAAATCTACTTGTCCATCAATCAGTCTGGACAAAACTATTCATTTTTAGGGAAATTTCCAAATAAGTACTGACTGAAAAGGGATCAATGTAGACCATGATCAGGCAGCAGGGATTTGCTAGTTGATCTTGGTCTGCACTGGTGGCATGAGTAAATTCAGTCTCTGTGAGAAAGCTTAGGGATAATATGGCCTGATATTGAAAATTTATGTTTACTGACAGAGATTAACATTAACAAGAAAAAATATGCCATATATCTCTTTGTGTCTTTTCTCATGTTTGCAAAATATGTTTTATGATTTCTTTGCAAATTCAAGGTGGTGGTAAAGCCTTGCAAAGTTTGTTCCAAAATATAGATTTTAACTGTGTGACATCACTGTTTTTATTCTCTGTGTCAATACAGTACATGTTTTTCATAAACATCTATGTGTACATGTAGTGTGACACTTTTCTTTTTAAATTGAAATTTTTTTTTAAAAATTAACATTATTAGTAATATTAATCTACGTGGAAAAAAACCTTTGTATCATATAAGGCATATTAATATTACAGGCTGGTTTCCTGGCAGCTATTCCCTACTTGTTGATGGCCATTGTGGTACAAGGAGGCGGCCATCTTGCTGATTTCCTTCGTGGTCGAGTTCAAGTCTCTACAGAAGCTGTACGCAAAATATTTACATGTGGAGGTAATGTAATTACTGGTAGTTATTGTCAAATAATGAATTTGTTATTCCTTAAGTGTTCAGCCTTTGCCACCAGTATAGAGCCAGGCCAGCCTGCACATTTGTTCAGTCTGACCAGGCTCTATACTGTTGGCAGCTCAATTTGGGCTGTTTCAAATTCAGACAGATCCATTATAGAAATATAGCAGGTCAAGGGTTAAATGTTAATGGCCATAACTGACACAAAAAAAAAATTATAAGTAACTTTTAAACATATTGATATATTAAAAATGTCAAATATATTGCTCACTGGCTGCCGTTTTAAAAATGGCTTGTCTTGCGTGGTAACAACATGAACCTGTTGCTATAGAGGGCGTGGCTAAGTAGCGTTGGCAGAAAGATCAATTGTACATGTAGCAAAAATCTGTGAATTTTTTTCTATTTGCAAAGTGATAAAATATCTTACCGCAAAGCTTGGACTATTTTAACTGTTATAAAATGGTTTTAAAACCTTAATCTTTTAGGTAGGATGTGTACTTCAAAGGTTAATTTTCCCACATATTGTTACAAAAGAACTACTGTTGTTACATTATTTATTATACTGGAATTTAAACTGTTAATAAGAGTACACATGAATCAATAATTTATGACAATAGCTAAGTCAGTCTGTCACATTTGTAGGTGGCACTAGCAAATTATGCAAATTAGCATATGTTGGGATTACTTTGATGGCCGCAGGGACACAGCAGGAAAAACTATATCACAAAAGCAATACTTTTGAACTTCATGCACATTTATTCATAGTCCATTGATAATCATAGTGTAGGTCCATTACCTAGGAATTTATTTTATCAGAATTTTAGGAAGACTTCTAACAAGTTGTTATGGTTATACATGTATATATTTCAGCATTTATTATCCAAGTTGTGTTCATGATTGGTGCAGGGTACACGATGACACGTACAGCATGTATGGTGTGTCTATCTATAGCTGTAGGTATAGGAGGGTTTGCATGGGGAGGCTTTAGTGTAAACCATCTAGATATTGCTCCACAGGTGAGATATACATGAACTAACCTTACCAATGCTTTAGTTTTATACATGTAATTAGCTCAAATTTTAATTTATACCCTTAACTTGCTGAATTTCCTCAAATAGACTTGTCTAGCTACCATTTTGAAACTATCCAATATGAAATTTCAGGGATATCAAGTTAACAAATCTTTAAGTTGGTCAGCCAAAAGTATAGAGCTTGGTCAGACTGCACATAAGTGTAGGATAGACTGGCCTGGCTCTACACTGGTGGCAAAGGCTGATCTCTTGACTGAAGCTGGTTAAGGTTTAAGAATGTTAGGGGTTTTGCTGTCAAAATACTCTAATTCTGCAGTCACACATACATGGCCTAGTTAAATTGCTTGGATGTGTATAGGCTTGCCATACTGTACTGACAGCAAAAAACTTACATTTCGATGCTAGGATACAAATTAAAGGTTAAAGTTGTTCATGAAGAAAATACATAAAAGATCATTTAAAATATAACATGATTCAGGACAGACATGGTCACACCAAAATTGAAAAAATGTCATATCAACCAATTATAACAGCTTTTTGTGTCAAGTGAATGTTTAATCTTAAATCGGTTTTGTTATCTCAAGCATTTACATTTAGAATAATTTATGTGTTTAATGTTAATGCAGTTTCAGTTTACACATATTTTTAAATAATTTCCAACATGTAAACTTACACATCAAGCTAACATATATAAATTACAAGCTGATAAAATATTTCAGTATGCCAGCATATTGATAACTTATTAACTTACACATCAATCTAACATATATAAATGACAAGTTTATATAATATTTCAGTATGCCAGCATATTGATGGGGTTGTCAAACACGTTTGCCACTTTACCCGGTATCATCAGTCCGGGTCTTACTTCAGTCATTGTCACAACAAAGGTAGGTTTTCCTGTTAAACATTATTATATTGTATACACTCTAAATTGTAGCAACATTTGGGGGCCTCCATGCGCTATTAGTTGCAGATTAAAAATCACTTCTTTCTCACTGTTGTAACTTTGATTTTTATGCTCCCCGAAAAATTTCGGGGGAGCATATAGTTGTCGGGTTGTCCGTCCGTCCGTCCTTCCGTCCGTACGTCCCAACTCGTGTCCGGCCCATAACTTAGTTATTTGAAGTCGGATTTTAAAACTATTTCACAGAAATGATCACCATATTGAGACAACGTGTCGCACGCAACATTTGGGTCGCTACCTTGAAGGTCAAGGTCACAGCATGACCTTGCATCAAAATCGTGTCCGGTCCATAACTTCTTTATTTGAAGTCGGATTTTAAAACTATTTCACAGAAATGATCACCATATTGAGACGACGTGTCGCGCGCAACATTTGGGTCGCTACCTTGAAGGTCAAGGTCACAGCATGACCTTGCATCAAAATCGTGTCCGGTCCATAACTTCTTTATTTGAAGTCGGATTTTAAAACTATTTCACAGAAATGATCACCATATTGAGACGACGTGTCGCGCGCAACATTTGGGTCGCTACCTTGAAGGTCAAGGTCACAGCATGACCTTGCATCAAAATTGTGTCCGGTCCATAACTTCTTTATTTGAAGTCGGATTTTAAAACTATTTCACAGAAATGATCACCATATTAAGACTTCGTGTCGCGCCCAACATTTGGGTCGCTACTTTGAAGGTCAAGGTCACAGCATGACCTTGCAGCAAAATCATGTTTAGCCCATAACTTCCTTATTTGAAGTCTGATTTTACAACTATTTCACAGAAATGATCACCATATTGAGACAATGTGTCGTGCACAACATTTGGGTTGTTTTTACACTTTGAACTTTGCCTGTGACATAACTCTGACACTACAAGAGGTATACCTTCCTGTGTCCAAAACCTATTCGGGGAGCATCACCCGGTTCAACCGGCTCTTGTTTTTCTGTGTTATGAAGTTCTTCAGGTAAATGGAGGTCATTGACTCTACTTTGGTTCATCCTGGTATCTTAAATATTGCAAGGAGAGTACCCTGAGGTTTTCTTTTACAATTATACTGGTGCCTCGTATTTCCGTGGTACCCATATTTCCAAGGTATCAGGCTTAAACAGTCTGAAGTGCCTCCTAGACTTAATGAACCTGCCAGTAGTTTTACTTTTACTATTTATTGTATTTTTATCGAAATATTACACATAGAACTAAAAAAATAAATTTATTCAGATTAAGAGCAAAGTTATTTAATTTTTCACCATTTTTCTTTAAGATTTCATACCTTTTAAGAAAATCTTCTTTGTTAAACAACCATTGAGGTATTTGATAAATGCCATAGAGAAAATCGCCCCTTTCAGATGAGCCTAGGTATAGGTGTACAAATAAAGTTTACTATTGGTTTTGCTTTTGAAACTGTTAAAATGTAATTGCCTTGGAAATATGAGAACACAAATTTACTCACAAGGCAGCAGATGTGTGTTAATTACAATGTTGTATACATAATTGCTGACATGCAAACATTTAATGAAATAAACTATGATGCAATTGACATGTCTATCTTACAATATTCACTGTGTTTTCCAGAATTTTATCCTCTTAACTGTTGTTGTCTGTGTAAAACAGTTAAGTACCACGGAAATAAGAGGCACCAGTATTATTCAAGAAAAATCGTCCTAAATGAAATAGTCTGAGTTTCTGACTTTGAATAACCTGCCCCTTATGCTTATTCGATTTAAAAATTTGCATAATTATCACAGGAATGTTTTTTTTTTCATCGAAGTAAGCTACCAAGAGTATTTTAGGTACAATTTTAGCTTGCAAACCATTATTGCCACACACATACCTAGTAAATTAATAATAATATTATGATATAAGGTGAATGTTTAGTATGAGTCTAGAATATACCATAATAGAAATTTCATATTTTCATATAATATGTTTCTTGTGACATCTGCTCCTTAGGGATTGGAAGCTTTTATAAACTGAAAATAAATACTAGATTTCTCTTAAATAATATGGTTTAATTTAATAAATTCTTTATTATCACATAAACCAAGAAGCATGAGTGTTATAAAGCCATTTAAGAAAAACGATATAACACTAGTTATTTCACATGACGTCATTTGCGTTTATACAAACATAATGATAAAGTGCGCTTCTGTTAGCATTATACTATAGGTGTGTCAATGAAAAAGACTTTTTTTAACTGTAAACTGTTCTTATTTTGGATATGTGATGAATAGAATATTATGTTCGTGTAGATTCAATACTAAATTTATTGAACTTGTTGAATAAAACAATATTATGCTTGCCATAAGCTTACCTGAAAATTTATTCAACTCTTTCAGTAAATTCAGTATTAAATTTACACTTATTCAATATCCTCTATATTTCTAAAAAAAACATTACAATAATCTTTAACTTTTGCTTATCACTCACTCTACATTTTGTTTAAATTGCCAATAAATTAAATTTAACGGCCTGTATTTAGAAACAAGAATCAAGTCAGAAATTTTTGTTTGTATCCATTAAGCTGTTAGAGGCCACAATGGCTAACTTTTAATTGTTCAGTTAACATACAAAAGTTTGGGGATTTTACTGAGACTTCTTCCACCATTAATGATTAACAGTCTCCATGTAACTTATTATACCCCCAAAAACGAAGTTTGGGGGGGTATGTAGGAGTCACCCGGTGGTCGGTCGGTTGGTCGGTCGGTCCAGACGTCCGTTACATTTTATTTGTCCGGAGCATAACTTGAAGACTAATGGTTGGAATTCAATATAACTACATACAATGGTCAAGCACATTGAGAGGAAGTGCAGTGCACAAGAACCATAACTCTATCTTGACTAATTACAGAGTTATTGCCCTTTGATACTTTTCCTTGTCCGAAGCATAACTTAAAACGTACTGGTTGGAATTCAAAACAACTTCATACAATGGTCAAGCACAATAAGAGGAAGTGCAGTGCACAAGAACTATAACTCCATCTTCAGTATTTATAGAGTTATTGCCTTGTGTTCCTTTTCTTTGTCTTTCTGGACTTATTATAGAGTAATTCAATAAAAACTTATCAATGGCCAACCACATTGAAAGGAAATGCAACATACAAGAACCACAACTATCTTTAATTGCCCACAACCATAACTCTATATTTCAATTCTTTTACAAGGTATTCTGTTACTAGTAACATCCTCATTTCCGAAGCAGTCTTGTGGGGGTATTAATCACATTTAGTGATAGTTCTAGTTCATCATTAAAATAAACTTTAGTCTTTGCTATACTCTTTCGTCCAATGATAATGGCTGAATTTGAAGATTCTGACAGGCTATAAACTGTCCTTATTAGCAGTTACTAACCATTTATTTAAAGGCAACATCTTTCTGGATAAACAGTACCTCTGCTTATTAAAAATAGGTCAAAAGCTAAGTGAGTTACACATTAATAAGAAAAAAAATCATGTTAAACAGTGACAGTCACTCATATGTCACTCTTTTTAGCTCACCTGTCACAAAGTGACAGGGTGAGCTTTTGTGATCGCTTTCCGTCCGCCGTCCGGCCGTCCGTAAACTTTTACTTTAAATGACATCTCCTCATAAACCACTAAGCCAATTTCATCCAAACTTCACAGGAATGTTCCTTAAATGGTCACCTTAAAAAATTGTTCAAAGAATTTAATTCCATGCAGAACTCTGGTTGCCATGGCAACCGAAAGAAAAACTTTAAATATCTTCTTTTAAAAAACCCTAAGAGCTAGAGCTTAGATATTTGGCATGAAACAACTTCTAGTGAGTGTCTACCAAGTTTGTTCAAATAAAAGCCCTGGGGTCAAAATTGGCACTGCCCCAGGGGGTCATCGATTTTCCCTATATGCATATAGTAAAAACTTAAAAAAATCTTCTTTTAAAGAACCCAAAGAGCTAGAGCTAAGATATTTAGCATGAAACATGTTCTAATGGGTGTCTACCAAGTTTGTTCAAATAAAAGCCCTGGGGTCAAAATTGGCCCCGCCCTGGGGGTCATAATGATTTTCCTTTTATGTGTATAGCAAAAACTTAAAAAATCTTCTTTGAAAAAACCCAAATAGCTAGAGTTTAGATATTAAGTGTGAAACATCTTCTAGTGAGTGTCTACAAAGTTTGTTCAAATAAAAGCCCTGGGGTCAAAATTGGCCCCACCCGGGGGGTCATTGATTTTCCTTATATGTGTATAGCAAAAACTTAAAAATCTTCTTTGAAAAAAACCAAATATCTAGAGTTTAGATATTAAGCATGAAACATCTTCTAGTAAGTGTCTTCAAAGTTTGTTCAAATTAAAGCCCTGGGGTCAAAACTGGCCCCGCCCCAAGGTTGTCATTGTTTTTAACTATATGTGTATAGTAAAAACTTAAAAAATCTTCTTTTAAAAAACCCAATGAGCTAGAGCTTAGATGTTTAGCATGAAACATCTTCTTATGGGTGTCTACTAAGTTTGTTCAAATAAAAGCCCTTGGGTTAGGATTGGCCCTGCCGGGGGCCTATATACAGGTGAGCGACCTCAGGGCCATCATGGCCCTCTTGTTTAGCTGTTTGAATTGTTTTTCTTATCACAAAACAGTGCCGCTTTTGCGACTCCTTAAAAATGGTATTGCATGGCAGTGCATATATTTTGAGATGATGTTATTTGCTAATATAAACATAGGGTTAAGAAGCGCCAAACTATAGACGGAGGTTTACATAATATAATTTTATTTAACTTGTTCAATAAATTCAGTACTGAACTTACAATCATTCAATATCCTCTATATACTATATTTCAGGGAGACGCTGGACAATGGCAGATTGTATTCTATATAGCTGCTGCTATATATCTAGCTGGTGCAATATTGTACGGTATATTTGCCTCGGGCAAGAGACAAAAATGGGCAGAGGTTCCAACGGGGTATTTACCTCATACAGAAGGTGTGGAACATGATGATTGACCTGATGATTGACCTTACATTTACTAAAATGAGCCGGGTCATGACAAAACCAACATAATGGGTTTGCGACCAGCATGGATCCAGACTAGCCTAGCCTGCACATCTGCGCAGTCTGATCAGGATCTGTTCTGTTCGCTATCAGTTTCTCTACTTGTTATAGGGTTAGTAAGGGAACAGCATGGATCCTGATCAGACTGCACGGATGCGCAGGCTGGTCTGGATCCATGCTGGTCGCAAACCCATTATGTTGGTTTTGTCATGGCTCGGCTCAAATGATTTAATAGACTTGCCATTTATTTAATTACTTAGTTACTTAAATTAGTGTTTTTCTAAAGTAGTTGTGAATTTTGTATATTTCTTTTACATATCTGTTATTAGTGTATTTAGTTACACATAATAATCTGGTATAGAATTTGAAGAGGTTCATTGTTAAATAAAGGGATTTTTCAAATAATATTGATAGAATTTAGCCAGAAGCATTAACTACATATACACTGGCCTAACTCTAAATGATGGCATAAACTTGTTGATATTGCCATACATATTTAGATTGATAAATGGCATTATTTGCTACAGAAGACATGAAAATACATAATGTTCAATATAAATGTTGTAGAACATTTTAGTTGTGTTTTTCTAAAGTAGTTGTGAATTTTGTATATTTCATTTACATATCTTTTATTGGTGTATTTTGTAACATTATTATCTGATTTGTAAACTCCTAATCTGCTGAATTTATGTAATGGTTTTGACCAATTTTGAATCTGGAACAGTCCATTATAGGATATGGATATCAAAACATAAAAAGAGCTGTCAGGTTAGCTCAATAGGTAGAGCGTTGGACTGTGAATTGGGCGACCTGGGTTCAATTCCTGGACAGTTCAGGTCACTTTCGTTGTGATTGATCATGAAATCTTTGAAAGTGAAGGCCACTTGTACTGGTAAACTGCTTGACAGCCTGTTCAGAAACAATGTGGTGGCTGAACTGTGCTCTGGTAAATTCAATGTGGGCTACTGCCATGATCAGGAGTGAAAACTACCAATACCACCAACATCAAAACACAAGATTCATCCATCAACTGAGCCTGGTCAGACTGTAGGGATATGCGGACTGGACTGGCTCTATACTGGTGGCAAATGCTAATCACTTTATTAGCAAAGAAAGGGTTAACCAGTTAATTATTTAGAAACCAGTCTAAGGCAACCAGAAATTAGTAATAATTGCAAGTACTCATTGAATATTGCATCAAGTCATGACATATGCCAAAATAGTGAGAATTTAGCACCAATATTCAAAAGATTGTATCCTAAAAATATTTTTTTAACCTTATCACAATTCTATATTTATATATAGCCATTTTGAGAATTTGGAATTATGTAATCAAATTATTATTGGGACCAAATTTTTTACATGACAATTTTACATTATTGTTATACTTGCAATTTGAAGCATTTACATTTACTTGTATTTGTATCATTTCTAGAATTTTAATTTATAGATATGAATATATATATGAAAGATAGATAATTACTATATTTGTTTAAAAACCATATATACTTACATTTACATTGTTGTCTATTATGCTACTATTTTGTTGTGATTTTTATGCCACCGCAGCATCTGCGATGCGGTGGCATATAGCGATTCACCTGTGTGTGTGTGTGTGTGTTTGTTTGTGTGTGTGTGTGTTATATAGATTATATAGTGAACTTAAAAAATCTTCTTGTGAAAAACCACTAGTCCAATTTCAACCAAACTTGGCATGGTTGATCCTTGGGTGAAGGGGTTCCAAAGTTGTTCAAAGAATTTCATTCCATGGAGAAATCTGGTTGCCATGGCAACCAAAAGGAATTATAAGAATAAATTTAAAAAATCTTCTTGTAAAGACCCAAAAGGCCTAGAGCTTAGATATTTTGCATAAGGCATTGTCTGGTAGACCTCTACCAAGATTGTTCAAATTAAAGCCCTTGGGTCAAAATCGGCCCCGCCCCGGGGGTCATTGATTTTCACTATATGTACATATAGTAAAAACTTAAAAAAACCTTCTTGTAAAGACCGAAAAGGCCTAGAGCTTAGATTTTTTGCATAAGGCATTGTCTGGTAGACCTCTACCAAGATTGTTCAAATTATAGCCCTAGGGTCAAAATCAGCCCCGCCCCGTGGCAACCAAAAGGAATTATAAGAATAAATTTAAAAAATCTTCTTGTAAAGACCCAAAAAGGCCTAGAGCTTAGATATTTTGCATAAGGCATTGTCTGGTAGACCTCTACCAAGATTGTTCAAATTATAGCCCTGGGGTCAAAATCGGCCCCCGCCCCGGGGGTCATTGATTTTCACTATATGTACATATAGTAAAAACTTAAAAATACCTTCTTGTAAAAGACCGAAAAGGCCTAGAGCTTAGATTTTTTGCATAAAGCATTGTCTGGTAGACCTCTACCAAGATTGTTCAAATTATAGCCCTGGGGTCAAAATCGGCCCCGCCCCGGGGTCATTGCTTTTCACTATATGTACATATAGTAAAAAACTTAAAATACCTTCTTCCAAAGACCCAAAAGGCCTAGAGCTTAGATATTTTGCAGAAGGCATTGTCTGGTAGACCTCTACCCAGACTATTCAAATTATAGCCCTGGGGTCAAAATCGGCCCGCCGGGGGGTCATTAGTTTTCCTTATATGTATCTTCAATATATACTTATAGTAAAAAATCTTATTGTCTTTATTAGAGCTTAAATATTTTTTAAATGATATCATCTATAGGAACTCTACCAAAGTTGTTTAAATTTTGCCTCTAGTGTCAAAATTAGCCCCGCCCAGGGGGCCATAGGCTTTCCTTATATGTATATATATATACATATATATATATAGTAAAAAAATAAAAAAAATATATTTTTATCTGAAGGTACAAGGCATAGAGCTTCGATGTTTGCTATATAATATCATCTATAGGTCCTCTTCCAAAGTTGTTCAAATTATTCCCCTGGTGTCAAAATTGGCCCTGCCGGGGGCAGTGATTCTCATTATGTACACATAGTAAAAACAGAAAATAAAACAAATGTTTTCTGAATGGGAGAAAGCTACAGCTTAGATATTTGACTTGAAATGTTGTTTGGTGGACTTGTATCAAGATTGTTTTGAATGAAACCCTTGGGTCCAAAATTTTGCCTTGCCCAAGGGGACAGTGACCTACTTTCTTGTCCTTTGATGTACAGCAATGAAATTTTGACCATGTGCACAGTTTTAGTTGTAAAATTGAATTTTGATATCAGGTGACCTAGATTTTGATGATGTGACCTACTTTCTTGTCCTTTGATGTACAGCTATGAAATTTGAACCATGTGCACAGATTAAGACATAAAGTGAACTTTGATTTCAGCTGACCTAGATTTTGACAAAGTGTCTTACTGTGTTGTTCTTTGATGTAGTCATGAAATTTAGGCTGTGTGAAATATGACCTTCACCACCAAATTCACTAGACTCGAGTGCATTGATATATTCCTACTCTGATCTTTTATTGAGTTAACAACAGATTTAACCACTAATCTCATAATAAGAATAAGATAGGTCAGGGATCTATGCATTATGACAATCTTCAAAATTGTATAGAAACAAAAAAAAATCTGTTCCAACACTACTATTTAGTGTTGTATTAATGCGGTGGCATAGCATTTTTCTCAAATGCAATCTTGTTTTTCTTCTATTTTTTGGTGCTATTTTTTCTACATGTCTAGATTTGTTTTGTTTATCTCAAAATGTTATTCATTATATTTACTTATTTGCAAATACAGAAATCAAATATATCAAAAAAACATAAGTGAAATTGGCAGTGGTATCACATTGCCTGGATCTGAGGTTATAAAGAAATTCTATAAGATGAAACCCAGATTTCAGGTATTTGATTGGTCAGAAACTGCCACAAAATGTACACTGACCAATGAAAATCCTTAGATTCAAGACGGAGTTCAGAAAAATTTTATGACCATAATACTTGAAATCTTATTCACGTTTTCAACTGTGAAATCAAAATTTAATTGGCTGAAACTGAACTTGAGTAGCATTCATTGACTGTAACTTCTTTAAGGGACTGCAATGTCAAAAATCTTTGTCAGTTAAAAGTATAGTGTACAGATTACACTGGAGTACTGTAGGGTAGCCTGGGTCTTTACACCCCAGTTACACAGAGACATCGGTGATTGATCAGTAGTTTTTTAAGCCAAATTATGGAGTGAACCGATGACAAAGTATTTATCACCGATATCACCTATTGGTCACCTGTTTAACACCTATCAACTGCTATTGGGGAAAGATAAGTTTCATCGGTGAAAAATTACCGATTGGGATTTTTAAACACGTTTAAAATTCTCGATCGGTGAAAATATTTTAAAAATAACCGACGGCAACCTATATCACGAGATATACAAGCTCTTAATCACCGATATCGCCGATCGGACAAAGATAACCAAATATGAATCACCGGCCATATCTGACGGAAAGTGTTTAACCACTAATGACTAGCTATTAAACACCGATTAATCAGCGTTACGCCCGACTTAGCTCCGATTTACAAACGATAAAAACCAAAAGTATTTCAGCATTTAATCATCGACCCATTCCCGTTTGAGTTTGCTTTCTGTCACCGATGGCCGTTTACACAGAAAACCAGAAATAAAATCACGCATGACAACCGATCAAAACAGCGAGTAAATTTAAAATTAAATGACCGATTGGGGACCGACCGTCTGTGTAACTGGGCCCTTAGTTATGGCATAAACCTGTTATAACAGCTTGTTCTTAAATCTTTAATAAAGTGTTCATTTTTCCCTCGCATAATATGCATAAACGTTTCTCAGACAGCCTTTGAAAAACAATCAAATTATTTTCTGATTTTCTATGTTGACATTTTAAGAGACAGAAAATATTGAAGGATCACTAACTTATGATTTAATTTTCTACGTACTGCATAATATCAAAGGACCAAAGTACAAACATTCCTCAATTAGACATTATCATTTGATTTGATTGCATTACTGCTGACAGCAACTTTAATGTTGATTTTTAAATTAAATGTCATTTTTTTTAAAGCAACTTTTAGTTTAACCCTTTTCTTTGAAATCAGCAAGAATTTGTGTTGTGTATGTTTATTTTTTCATAAATTAATGTGTTGTTTGCATTATACAGCTGAGACTTGCTTTATTTTAATTGTGTTTGTGTTATTAATTTATGGCTGTATATTAAAAAAACATGTATGTGATATTATTTATATTCAGTACATGCTGAATTTGGCTCGCTTTGATAGGTGAAAGGCAGTGAATAGTTAACATTTACACTTGTGTAAAAAAAAACATGAGAAAAGTGATAAAAACACTCTGAAATTTTCCTGGTATGTTATCAACTTGCCCTCTAGTATGGAAACTAATCTGTCTAACATTTTGAATACAATTTTGTGTAGTTTTCTATTATTAGTGATTGATATCAATACCTGAATATTAAGATTGATTTGAATTTCAAGGTATATGAAGAAGGCAACATATCAACATACTTTGAGGTCCCAAAGAGAGTTGCCTTTACAAGGAAAAAAAAAGTACTCATTGGTTCATTTTGTACATTTCAAATTCGTAAAGATAGAAAAAATGACTTAACTTATTGTGTTCTTATCTCTAATCTTTATCAATTTTGAACATACATTGTACTCCGAGCATTATCAATTTCTATCGCTGAAACACATATACATGTACTGTATTTTAAAGTTTCACCAACAGAAGACAAACACTTTTGTTATGATGTTGCTTAAGTAGATGTAAAGTTATTTATGTAAAAACTTATATTTTCTTTAAATCATGTTGTTGTTGATTTTGTAAAAATTATATATTATATTGAAATTCTTATTTTTACCTCTAAACAGCATTTTATTTGTGATCTGATTTTTGGTACCATATCTTTATTTTTTTTTGTTTTGATCTGAAAGACCATGTTGTTTCACCAAAACATAAATGAAAGTTATTTACAAGGGGTTTACAATGTTCTTGAGGTAGTTCCAATTTCTGTCTTATTGGCTGTTCTGTGCTCATTTTTACCTCCATTGACATTTTATGTGATATCTGGTGATCTTATATTGTATTGCAGTTACAGTCAAATCTTTAAAGGGATATTCAGGCAAATAAATGACAAAAATATCAAAATGATTTAATGTACTAAAATCATGCTAAAATGACATTTTCTAAAGTCCCAGCAAAAAATTCTGTTTAAATTCTATTTATTTTGGGGTTGAAGCGTAAATATATCTAGATGTATTGAAAGAAGTTTACCGCCGACATAATCACCGAGTTTTTTTTAATCGAGCCATGTGACTTGAACAAACCCTGGAAGTTACAATAACAGATTTTGTGGATATTGAATAATTGAAACAAGTCTAAGTCATTCATTTGATATGTTCTTTAACGTTTCCATAGTTCACTGTGGCAACTTATGTGAAATCTTAACGCTCTAACCTGACCCACGCGGGTCAAGTTAGGAAACCAGCATTTTATTCTTTATAAGGAGAAAAGTTTTGTTCCTAAGACTGCCTAGTTTATTTATTTTGAGGACATTTACAGAAAGATGAATGAAAAACTCAAAACGAAGAATTGAACATTTTGCCTGTGTCTCCCTTTAAACAAAGGCCATCGAAGGGAGAGACAAAGTATGGTCTTTATACACAAGTGGTCTTTATATAGAGGTTACTTTAATCCATTATAATAAAGAAATTTACAGGGTTATATTTATTCAGATGTGGTCTTAAACACATGTTTGACTGTATTATTATTAAGGGAACTTTGTTGTTATTTATTTGTTACATGTATACGGATTATTTTGATCTAGTCAAATCTATAAGATTTCATGTAGGAAATGTTATGCTGTTATTTTGTTTAATATCAGTTACACCTGAAGTGGCTGGACATGTTGAATTCTAACATCTGTTAACAGTAGAATGTCACTGGGCCTTAAAATATAAATAGTATTGTTTACTTCGTTAAATTTTAAACATATTATAAAAGGAAACAAAACTATCAAATTTTTCAAAGAAATGTTTGATTCACAAATATGTCATGTGATTAAAAATTGTAAGTATAGTACTAGGTTGTCTTTTTAAGTCTATTTATACTATATAAATCATAATTATTTTATATGTTGTTATTGTTGCAGAGTATATAAATGTTGTTCATAAATAAAAACATGAAAAAAACTCAGTGATAAGACTTTACTTTTTATTTCAGTTTTCATTTAACAATAGCACAAGATAATAAACAACATACACTACATTTGTATCCATCTCTTAGTTAAAATACCAAGTCCTCCAAAACTTTATACCTTTCAAAGTTCCTCCCCCACACTGATTCCCAAAAAATCTTTCGGTATATTATTAAAAAGGTGTTAATAAAGTTTTTAAAAAAAAGAAAAAAAGCAATGCTTTGTCACTGAAAAAAAAATCTTTTATTTTTCTTGCTTGTAGTGAATCGCCTTCAAATGTTAGCACCCTGGCATGCTTACTGACTGCCTTGACCAAAAGAGACAGTTCTGACAGGGTCGTAACTGGTTATTATACGCTCGGAGCCACGTCTCTAAAGTTGTATACACCATGTCTGTTTATGCTATCTATCGTTCATAGATGGTTTTGAGTCGTCATCCTTGAGCTGAAAGTACAATGTATAAAAGTAAATAATTATAAATATAATTATGTAAGTAGTTGTAAATTCACTCTAAATAATCATATTCTTAAATATGTGAACTTTGTAAATAGCATGCAGTTACTGTAAGAAAAAGTTTATCTTTACAAATAATTATTAACATAATTATGTAAGTAGTTGTGAATTCACTCTAAATAATCATATTCTTAAATACGTGAACTTTGTAAATAGCATGCAGTTACTGTAAGAAAAAGTTTATCTTTACACTTTAAATTTATGCAGCTGACTTGCCCCAGTTTCAAGTTGAAACTAACCATGGTGAATGTACAATATTGCAATAAATATATCAAACAATAAAATTAAGCTACCAACAGTATAGAGCCTGGTCAGACTGGATGTACAGTCTATATTGGTGACATAGGCAAGTAATTATCACCTAGAGAAAGAACTTACAAAATTTATTCAAAGTGGTAACTATTTAAAATAAATTCATGTACTATTGTTAAAATCCTTTGCCAAACTAAAGATCTAAAATGGACTTTTTTCAATGTGAACAAGACCATTTATTGGTTTTTAGGGAAATGTTCAAAATGTGTACTGCAAAAGTTTAACCAAAGTATGAGGATGACGCATGGCTAAGTACAACAGATTTCCCTATTCTTCAAATAGTCAAGCTAACTATGTGCCAATTCAGTAGCTGTCAGCAGTGTAAGGATTATTGTACAAGTAACCATCATTATACTAACTTTATAAGGTCATGTTGATCACCATATAAAGAAAGGTTATTAACCATTATGTGTATAATTATATTGCCTTTTCAATTGTAAAATATTAAATTAAAGTACTTTCTTTGATATGATTTATAAACAAACTTCCATAGACATGTATTTTGATAAAATGCTGAAATTATTTACGAATTTTTGTCAATATATCAGAGTTCAAAGTTAAAACGAAATTCTCAAAGTTCAAACTCAGACTTCGGGCAATTGTTTGGTATGAAACTACCTCAGAATGTACACTGATCAATAAAAATCTTGAGATTTGAGACAAAACTCAGAAAAAAAGTTATATAACCTTGAGGCCTGGTTAAAGTATTACAGAGCATTAACAAATTTTAAAGGCTAAAAGGAGGGAACCTTTTCTCATAGCATTTACCCTAGATTTTTTGCCATTTACTAAATCAAGGTTCTTGCAGTCCCTACATTTGTCTTCAAAGAATCTAGCCCTATCTCAATAAGAGTATAATGTTAACAACACTAATAAGTATTAGTTTTTTAGATACAGAAAAAGAAAAATATTAAAAAACAAAAATTACCATGAAAATTGAACGGATAAAAATCTACGGTAAACTTTAATGAAAAGATAATAATGTTTATAAAAAAATATATAATATTTACTTAAACAAGAATAAGAAAGAGTAAATAAACAATAGGATAAAAAAGATATTATAGGTACAAACAAAATACTCACCTACCAAACACTTTGTAAAACATGTTTGTCAAATTAAAAGACGGACGGACATACATACAATACTGAAACCTGAAGACAACAGCCATTGGATAAAACAATTCTCCCCAAGTGAAGACTTTAACTAGCTTATATATAGGCAGCATGCATCCAGGATACAAAATACATGTATGCAAATACAGGAACAAAGAAAATTTGTTGGCTTACAATATACATTGTATAGAGATTTGGTGATTTGCACATAACTGCTTAAAATACACATAGTGTTAAATTTGTAAATTTACATCTGGCAAAAATTATTGTGTTGTCCAAAATTTAAGGGCTAATGAGTCATACAAAACTTATCATTCAAATTTAGAAATTTCTATAACAAAATATATGTCAAAATGTTTTCAGGTATACAATATCGGGTACATGTATATAAACTAAGGTTAAGTGCGCTACGGTTACATGTGCATTATAATCAAAACAGTGATTGTGAAAATTAAATCTAGGAGTCAGTAAATTACAGTACAATAAACTACATATTTAGTGAAAATCATAGGTGCTCTATTTTTTATTGCCCATCATTATCATGTTTCTTGGTTTTTGTTGTAGTTTTTTTTTCTTCAAAATTTGCTTGTGAAACAAGCATTGTATTGAATAAATCGTTTTCTGGTTCATTTCTATAACAGACTTATTGTCTTTGTATAACTGTCACATAACTGGCTACCAACCGGGCTTAAAACCATTATTTCTTCGTTAATTAACAACTCTGCACCTTACTGATTGCTTTGACATACAAATGTTAAATCAAAGAAAGAAGTGTACATTTTACATAAAATAATAATACTTTTTCAACACACATATTTTTGGCAGTGAATCTTTCATAGTTTTCACTAATTTCGAGACTTAATTACAGTTATAATACAAAACATCTATATCTTATTTCTAGCATATTCAAGAATTCTATATACTTGCAACATGATAATGGAAGTAAACATACATATAAACAAGAACATAAAAATAGCAAAAATAACTTTATTCTCAAAACATAATAAAAGCAAACCCAACATAAAAGTATATAAAATAGATATATAAAAACTACACTACACTATCGCATCAGCTGTCACAGTAAAGTTTTCATGGTTAGAGAGAGGTTTAAAAAGAAAGAGACAAAAAATATTAGGATATACAGAGATAAAATTCAAACAAAAATTTGCTTTCATAAGTAAATTTGGTAAGTTTTCTCATATTCAAAGTTTACATGGTGTTTTTGGTGAAAAAAGTCACTGTTGTATACAAAATGTGAAGTGCAAAGTTTGGTTAAAGCATCCAATACTATATTTTTTTTTAAGGTAAAACAAATGGTGAGCTGTTACAAAAGGGAGGTAATCTAGCTACATAGCATCCCAGCGTGCTATCATATCACTTACTCCTCGGTTTAATCCATCAATTCTTGTTAGAAGCACCTGTAAATATAACACAATTATGACATAAAATTATGTACAACATCATTATTAAGTTAAAGCAAATAAATAAGAAAATATTCATATATACTGCCAAAATTATTTTCCAAAATATCTAAGGCTTGCTCTAAAAGCTAAATGTCTTTATCATAAAATTGTGAGTACCCTGGTACACAACTGTATGGCAGTTACACAAAAGTTTGCCTTTAGACTTGTATCTGTTCATAAGATTTAGTTTGTCAATAGAAAATGCAGCAATCTAGTCTGTTATCTGATATTACTAAAAGAAAACTGAGCAACAAAATGTTAACTTGATGAAATTTTAACCAAGTATTTTGAAAAATCTACCAGATATTGCAAATTCTTCCCATTTGCTTTATGAAAAGAAGTAACACTTTGATCTGGTATTTTAGGAATTGTTCGCTCGTCTGTTTTTTGTTTGTTTGGTTTTATGGTGCACCAACACAGTTTAATTCATGTGGCTGCGAAACAGGCAGGATTATTTTGACTCATTATTTTGGGAACAAGACCTGTCTGTAAGGCAGGCTGCTCAACTATACTAAGTGCTTGATAGTAAAACAAAAGCTTGCATAATGTGGAATTTTCCAAAAGTTCAAAAAGGGCCAAAATTCTGTCAAAATCCATGTAAGAAATATGGGCCTTCTATAGTGACCTCCTGTTATGCTCTCAAAAAAAGTGAGAAGTTTTAACCTATTCCCATTAGCAGTTTTGGAAATACTAGCTTGCACACAAAAACTTGACCAAAATGTGACGAGTACAATAGCTCTCAATATTCTTCAAATAGTCAAGCTAATGAAATGCCATTACATCATCTAAAATAAGAGCATTGGTTTTGCTGTTTACACAGCCATTTAACTGATATTCTTTTTTTTAATTATACCTGCAAAGTATTAATCTGACCAATGAAAATGAATTATGTGTCCAAACAAATATTCTCCAATTGCTTGCCTTATCTACTGTTGATTAAATGTTAAATTCTCTTTATGCATACACTTCAATCAGATCAAGAAAGATAATCCTTTTAAATATACCACCAAAAAAAATCTTTCAGTAAGTTGTAAACTTAAAAAGTTATAAACTTAAATAAAGAACTGCAGTGATTGCTATATACAAATCTTTTAGCATACTTTGCTGAAAGAAAGATCTATCCCACCAGTTACCTTAGTGCAGTAATGGGCTAACTCCTAATATATAAGGAATTAACCCATTACTGCACTAACAATTTAGAGCCAGGGCAGTCAGATGTAAACCAGTACAGAGCCAAGTTAGGTTCGAACATTTGTGAAAAATGACCAGGCTCTATGGTGCTGACAGCTTTTTTTTTGTATTTTGTTATTAAAATCCATTTCAATTTTACTGGACTGTCATATTCAAAGCAGGACAAATCCATCACACTATCAATGGGCGGCTCCAACTTCAAAGAAGGTTCAGAAATTTTATAGAATAAAGAGTAAAGGAAATATACCTGTATTTTTGTAACAAGAGACTTGCGTTTGCCCCTGCCACCTTTATTAGACTCCTCAAAGCGAAGAGCATCTAGTTTCTCTAATAATCTCATTAAAGTCTCGGCTACAACAGCTAAACGTTTCTCCAAGTGTTTCACAGATTCAGACTGCTGATCTTTGTTCAAATATCCCTGTAGAAAATCAAATTAAATCAAATTAGTACTTATATGAACTTTTACTAGGGTTCAAACAACCAAGCAAGCAATCAAAACAATGTTAAAAGACTGTCTCATGACTTTTTGTTTCAGATATAACTGCAATCATAACTTTTCACAAACAAACATTTATGTTCCCATTAAGGTAACAGTAAAACACTAAGGAACACATATCTCCTACTTGTAACAATGACTTTTTTATTTTGAAAGAATGGAAGCTATCTTGCACCTGTCTAAAATGATTGTAGTATTACATGTATTATGTTTTTTCCCATATTTACTGAAAAAAGTCATGTATTCAAAAGTACGGAATGGTTGAATAGATTGAGCAGCCTTTTTTTTATTCATCTCAAGTTTTTATTACACTGATACTGAATTCATTTCATACAGATAGAGCAATCATTAGAAATAATAAACTAAACATTTTCTAATAAACAATTTCAAATTCAGTATATAAATGAAAGAACTAGCTAAGATAGAGCAATAAATGCATTAATTGATACAACCCTACTGGTACTTTGACTTTTTATTTGAATAATAATAGATTTAACCACAAACATGCGTTCTATTTGTGGTGAAGTACTTATTGTAATCCACTAACCTGATAATTAGAATTAGACAGGTTAAGAATCTATGCATTTTAATTGTAAATCAACATAATTTCAAACTAACTTATAGCAAAATGTACATACTCTATGTACACCATCAAGTTCATATGTAATATCACTGAGTTTCTTGTCCTGTTTCTCAAGGTTTGCCTCAACTTCATTCATTGCACGAGTATCTTCATCATCTTGTGGTACTGGCTATAAACAATAAAACATAACAAAGCTGATTTCCGGAAAATTCTGTACATTAATAGTGACCATTTCATGTCATGCAGTTACTTAACTCTCATTTATGTAACAGACTCCTCCTGTTAAGAATTTTAAGATCAGTCCACTGTTAATGGTAGGGATTTAATGATGATAATAATACATCAAAATTGAACAACCTGAGGCACAGTCTGGTAAAAAAAAATGCTAAATAGTGAATGATTTTGCTCTTTTAACTGCATTCTATGAAATGTTAGTGCTGATAATACTAGGTGAATTCTTAAAATTCCATTTAGTACACCAACGTTTCCCCTGAACAGACTTCTTCTGGGTACAAAAATATAATTATATCAAACAATAAACTGGGAATTATCTCAGCGTCACATGACGTCAATAGAAACGATGTCAAACAATTTAGTTAACTGATTGTAAATAATCTCATATCTCTCTTCAAAATTGATTAAACTGAACTATTACTGTACATGTACTAGTATATTGTTTATGCTTAATGGAAGTCCTGTCCTGGTTTAGGACTTATAAAGTACAAACCGGCATCATTGTTCACCTTGACTCCTTACCTTTTTACCAATCAGCATCACCTTTGCTCCAGATTTTAAGCCAAGACTGGTAAGCTCCTCACCTAGGTCTTTCAAGGATTTCCCTGCAACAGCATTTCTAGTTTTATCATAAAATACATTTAAACCTGCTTATAAAGCAGGTCTTGACAGTGGCAGTGTGGCCAAGTGGTTAAAAGCATCAAGACTAATAATCTAAGGAGTCTAAGGGTTCTTACTTCTAAGCTGTTCTTTGTGTGAGCAAGAAACTTTACATTCAGGCTTAGTACTGATTGGTTCCAGGAATGGATTTAAGTGTGTTTCAAATTAAAATAAATTAGTTTAAACTAAAATAGGTCCTCTGAAATAAAAAAATATATGGTGCTATTTTATGTTGCAGGGTAGGAAAATTGTGCAGCCTGACTGCCCATGACTTGGAATTTGGGAAGGGGGAGTAGGGTCTTGCAATAGTATTCTGAAGCTCTACTGACTGAGTTACCTGACCACTTCAAAATCTTCTGCCTTAGTAGTGAAAAGTTCTATATTGTACCTTAGCAGTGAATAGTTCTATACTGTAATATTTAATAATTAAATAAAGGTTTCTTTTTAAATGTTCAAATGGAACAATTAGAATGAAGATATTTAGCAATAGGGATTCTGTCTATGGTATGTCTTCCTTGCAGAATTTTCAAGGACTGAGGACTAAAGATGTTGTTTATGACATTGCCAAAATGACTGAAGGTTCAAAGTCAAACATATTTGAAAATGGATTAATTTAAAGTTACAATATGCCAATCTTGAATAAGTCAATTTATCACTGCTATGTAATATTTATATCTAGAATGCACTTGAAATTACTGTAAAATGCACCAAATAAACTAACATAACAAAATGAGTCAACAAATAAAGCAAAAACCTAGATCATTACATCCTTTCCACTTTATGTTTTAAGAGGCAACAAAAATTAGATTCACATAATATTGTATGCAAATAAACATCTTAATAATGCACTATAGCTTTTCAATGAAATGTCCTTTATTGAAAATAAAATAAGTGATATTATATAAATGTACATCAATCCAATTAAATACTTATAATTATATCCAAAATTGGAAATATTACTTACTAGGTAACATAACAGTTATTCATACAATATTACTTTATTTATTCACTTTAATGAAAATGTGCTTTAGATTTATTACACCTGGTTAACTAAAATGTAATTAGGCCGAGTAAACTTCCTGTCCTCAGGTCAAAAAAATGTCACATGATTAATTCTCCACATGTTGCTTTTTTTGTAGTGCTCTATTCAATTAACAACATTGCAGTACAAAAAGATAACTTGGTTTTAAATATACACAGGTAAAAAAAGAGAAAACCTAACTTTCAAAATACATTAATGTGTGTTTTCTTCTGCAAAAATCATTTAGGTTTAATATAGTTAATGCCTGAAAATCTCTGAAAAGAAAGAAAGCCTTGTAGAAGCAATGTTAAAAATGTATGTCATATAGACTTTTAAAAAGGCACTGGGGAAAAATGTCTGAAAAATGAAACACTGGTGTATTGATGTAGAGGTTGATCTATCTTAATATTCTTTATATGCCCTATTTCAGTGGCATTTCTTGCACTGCTTTAAATTCAGAAAAGGCCTGAGGCCATTTAAATTTGTATAAAGACATCTGCATAGACAGAATGGAACTTTTTAACACCTTTGATAGAGCTTCATGCAAGTATCATTCCTGCCAAGTTTCATCAACATTCACTTGGTGGTATCAGAGATGACATTTAAGGAAAATGTTAAAGGCTTTATGACATACATGTACAACCTACAGGTTTTTTTTTCCAGGATTTTGGGAACATGACCAATACCCATGGAATTGGAAACTTCAGCGATGTTTTGTTAAAAATTGGGAAAAAATGCATGAATTAAATTTTGCAAAGTTTAAATGAATGCAAAGAATCAATGTCTAGGATGGCACCTTCAAAAATCTAAGCACTATAACAGTGAAGAGGGCCTTATTTTCAAAAATATTAGAATTTGTTGTTCAATAATTTTATTTTGTAACTTTCAATTGCGAATTTTTTCCTGTGGATTGGGAAAATAACATACTATTTTTAATTGGGAATATGACTGAATATCGGCTATAAAATAAGCCAAAAAAAAATCCCTGACCTACAACTGAAGGAGTGGTCAAATTTGCTCACTGTATAGGTGATCTAACATAAAAAAGTGGCAAACGTTTTAAAGTTTACCTTTATAAATAAGCTTCTGGGCTTCAGCTGGGATTTCAGTTAACTTGTAAACAGCATCAGTCAAATGTTTGACACACAAAGCATCCCCAGCCTCATTTTCTGCCAATCCTAATTTCACATCATACTTCTGAGGGCCTGAAATTTAAAACAAGTAAAACATACTCTTTCAATTTGTGATTTTTTTTCCGATCTATTTGCAATTATATTCAGTAAATAAAGTTTGCTTTCATTAAATACTAAAGTTTAATAAGATGAATGCCAAGTGTTCAAAGACTCTTTCACTATACATTTCATTAGGAAAAATATTGCTGATTTGTGTCATCTAAAACTTGTGTAGTTTTTGGATGGTTTATGATATACTAGCTAAAGATACTTCAGCAAACAGGTTTAATAGTACTGCTAGACCTGTTCCCTGAAGCCAATCCCGTATCAAAAGTCAACCAGAAACGTGACATATTTATGTCATGCTGTAATTCAATAAATTTGTGTGATCAGGACAAAATCTATTTTAATACAGGTAGTTTGATATATTTGGGACACTTCAGTCTATATTTTTGAACAAAGAACGTTTGATGAAATAATGCCTCAAAGTTTATCAGTGGGTTCAGATTTCATAAAATTCGCCGCAATTGCTGCCCTAATAATCATGTGACTAGCGAGAAAGTAGGTTCGCATACCTTTGCATGACATCTGGTGACCCATGACCCAAAAGCTATTTTTAATTGAAAACATGGCTTTGAAATTATGAATAACGGTGTATTTATTCAATAACAGACATTGTACCAAAAACATGTTCGATTTATATTATTTTGAGTGATGATTCATAATTTATTTGCTTGTTTTTATTTAAAATCGTACACTTACTAAAATAGTGTATGGTCCGTTACTAAAAATAGATGCTATAATTCCCAAAACTTGAAGTCCCACGAGATTTCATTTGTTTTGAAAGCAGACTCCATATTGGTAAACATTCTCTACATATTTCCCTAACAAATAGTTAGGTTCACAATGTCATTGAAGTTTCATTTAAAAACAAAACATGAATTGATTCAAAATTGATTTGTTTATCAAATGGTATTTTTATTTGACCCAAATTTGATTAATAAGGGTGATTTTAATAGGTTTTTATGTACTGCACACGAACTGCCAAAATTTTGGTAGCCTTTACAAATAGGGTTGACCCATACCTTTATTGTCGCACAACGTCAAAACAAAAGCGACATATAAAGTTATGGAAGCCAGAACTAATGATATAAAAGCGTTTATAGTGACCAGACATTAATTTAGGTCACAAATGATGGTAAGTCATGAATAGATGATGATAATAAGACAGGCAATAAAATTGAATGTGTGTGTTACATATATTCATCCGTCCATCTACATGTTGTATCTTCTATTATTGTCAAACCCCTCACCGGGGATGTAGACATGACTCTAGACTTAAGAGACGGCTATAAGATACAAGGGAATCCCAGAACAGTACACCTCTATGTAGATGGGAAACACTGAAAGTGTCTCCAAAAAATTCCAATCCAAGGGTGTTACACAGGATCGAACCAGGGACCTCAGGAGTGACAGGAACCCGGGACCTCAGGTGTGACAGTCAGTGGAACCAACTGAGCTATCACGCCACCACAATAACAATACATATGGCTTATGCTATAGCTGATAGCTACATTTAATAGTTAATTAAAATCTTTATTTTGTATTGAAAGAATTCAGATGTCAAATCTCAAAAACTTAATTTTTCTGAAAATATTCAATGTCAAGTAATTTTTATGAAAGTAAACAAATCTGTAGTATAAATATTTCATTTGAGCCGGTAAATGAATATTTTAGACTCTTCAAATTTGTTAACTACCGTGAATAACTTGCAGTGTCAAAGACTGCCCTGTGGCCATTTTGTGGGTTGTCGCTTTGTATCAACACACTCAGTATTATTCCCTATCAACACACTCAGCGCTTTTCCTGTTGACTCCGCCCAAGTCACGTGACATAGTATCACTTCCTGCCTCTTCTAACTATTTCCTAAAGAGCGGAAGTATTAAACCTTAGTGAAAAATCATTTAATGTAGCGTTTATTATAAAATACATAAAATACATGATTTATTGAAATTTAGATTAAATAATGAAATGAATAATTTGCTTTCATTTTTCATAATAGAAATATTTTAGTTGTTATTAACAAATCTGTAATTAAAATGACTTTGATAATAGTCTAGTTTGCGTATAACGTTACTTAAAAATATTGATTAACTTCGCAAAAAGTCAGGGGCGGATACAGTATGGTTTCCTGGGGGGCTGACATATGGGTGGAAGATTTTGACAAAACTAAAGCAACAGGCGAAAATTGTGCATGTGACCAAAAAAATGTAATAGATGTGTTTTATAGCTCATCTGATGAGTGGCAATGCACTTTCGCTTTATATATGTGTATGCTAATATTTTAGATGATATGGAATTAAGAAAAATATATGTAATTGGGGTGGGCCAGGGAGGGGAGGGGTGTCCCTCCCACAGACTGAGAAAATTTTGAAATATGAGGTTGAAAATGGTGTTATTTCCTTGACTTTCTAGTGCTGTTTATGGTACCTTTTGGATGGTTTTACAGGCTAGTGTTTGCAAGCTATTTCAAATAGAATTACCCTGGTATTAGTTTCACTATCTGTGACTATTAATTTCATTAGACCTTGGGAAAGTAATAAACCAATAATGCACAATTATGCAGTTTAAACATTGAAGTCATTCAAGCATGTTGATAGAGAATGATCTCTGCCAAGCCCCCGGGCAGGAGATTAACAACTGGATGACAGCAATTAATGTTTTGATAAGGGAGTACACTACAGCCAATAAAGTTTGAAACTGACAAAAATATTTTCCAGCCCAGCTGGTAAACGTATCTTTGGGCCGAGTTGGGGGCGGGGCTGCAGCCCTGAAGCCCGGGCCTGAATCCGACACTGAAAGTACATGTTTTAATGAACAAAAAAAAAAATACATAAAAATATATTGTTCTTCGAAACCTCTTCGTGACGAGTTATTTACTTGAAAAGAAGAATGGCAGATGATGAGGAAGGTATGTACGTGCGAACATGACTTTAAATATATTATTATAAACAAAATACACAACTACAAAGAGTTCGGATTTAAATCTTTTGAAAAACTTTACAACTCATGTGTTATACCAATACTTGACTACTGTGCGTCTGTTTGGGGGAATAAACATTTCCAACAGATAGATACTATCCAAAATCGCGCAATGAGATATTTCATGGGCGTTCATAGATTCACACCCGTACTTGCCATGCTTGGAGACACAGGCTGGTTACCCAGCCGTTACCGTAGATGGACCTCTATGTTACGCCTCTGGAATCGATTAGTGTGTATGGATACTAACAGACTGACATACAAATTGTTTGAAACAGACTATAGACAGTGCTCAAATAATTGGTGCAGTGATTTTAAAAAAACAGTTATGTACACACTGGGATTGAATGATAACTTTGACCATTTATTCCCGGTCAATCTCTCTCAAGCAAAAACTCTCATTAATAGTTATTATTCAAACATATGGGCTCGAGACATTCAAAACTTACCAAAAAATTAAGAACATACAGACTGTTCAAAAGGGAATTTAAAACTGAGGAATATTTATTATTAAACTTAAAGAAAAATGAAAGGTCATTATTAGCTCAATTCAGGACTGGCATTTTACCTTTACGGATAGAGACAGGTCGATATGTCGGCGAATCTGTAGAAGATAGACACTGTACACTGTGTAATTCCGGAGCCATAGAAACAGAGACACATTTCTTACTAGAATGCAGTTTATATTCAAATGTTAGAAATACTGTATTTTGACAACTTATTAACAGACATTTCATTTGTAAACCTAGTGACCGAACACAAACTCGAACACTTAATGACAAAATATCCTCGTAAAATGTCTAAATATATTGTTGCTGCCTTTATGTGTAGGCGAAACCGAATTTATTCATAAACAAAACAAAAAAAACTGTGATATCCAAAAATAATGACAATGATAATAATAAAAAGTTCCATATAGAACGTTAAACGTTTTGAAGCCCTTGAAATATTGTTTGTAAGCATTAACCAGAATCAGGTTACACTTTATATTTGTTTATACCATGATTTATACATTCTATGTTTTATGTGATGCATTATGAAATCATTACATTGGTGACTTATAGGCCCATTGGGCCGGGTGCTATAATTGTACACATATACGATTGTTATTTGTATTTGACTATGCACATGTCACAATAATAAATAATTTACTTACTTTACTTACTTACTTATAGCTTTTTTCTTACTTATAGATATACAAATGTACTAGACAGCGCATAATTGCTATATACACTTTTTATGCACCCAAACAAATATTTAATTTTTATGCAAAGTAGCGATTTGCAGTAGAAAAGTCATTATAATCATGTATAATTAGTAAACTTTTTTCAAAGATTCATAAAAATGTTATCTCTTTCTACATGTATTTGATTTGCAAAAGTATAAATACATTTTCTTAGATTAATTCATAAGTTCTGTAAGAAATTTGCTTGTCATCTATAAATTCAAGCTTTTAACAGACTATCTTAAAAGAAGTGTTGTTTAAGATAATCTTTTCGTGAAGTTATAACAATTTTTACGACTTAAGACCCATTATCTTTCTTCCCGGTTAGTGCACGTGCTTTTCAAATGAAAAGTTTGGTCAAAAAGACTGAAATGAGTTAGTGCAATTCTGATGATTTGTTCCGATAACCATATGTTAAAATCGTGCGTTAAGTATTCCTTCGTATGATATACTTCTGTTGTGTGATAACCAATACCCGTTTCTTATAGAAATTAAATAAATTTGCATTTTAACATATTCTTAGAATAAACATCCATTTTTTCAGGAAGAGTATGATTTTTTTCTCTATATGAATAATATTCGTGTGCAGAATATAATGCAATTTATAACATATAATCCGTTCAGTTTCTAGTGTCTTACCAAAATCATTAAACAATATAAACAAGTTAGACTAACTTTACAAAATACCGACCAATTATTTTCCTGATTTTGGTTAAGAAAATCTGCATCAACCTTTTCAGAAAAATTGTAAGTATTTAGTATATCGTTTCAGGCAAGGAAGAGAACTTGTAACTATGTCTTTAGGTCAAATTGAAGTGTAAAATATGCACCGGTTAGATTGTTTTAAACGTTCCAACAATATTGCAAGAAATGATAAGAAAATATGCATCAACCTTTTCAGATGATTTATTAATGCATCAAATAATGTTAAGTTAAGCGCTAAAATATTTGCCAATCAAAGTTATGATACAGTTAAATAATGTTCATGTTGAATAATCAAAACCTAATTTTTAAGAATTGTTTGAAATTTAATCATTTCTCTTCTTTCTAGAGTGAAATTTTGGCATCAACATTTTCAGCCAAATTACAAGTATTTACCACATCGCTCAAGGCAAAGTAGAAAAATAGTAATTATTGTGCTAAAAATATTTGCCTATCAAAGTTATGATACACTTCAATAATGTTGAAGTTGAATAATATCAACCTAATTTTAAAGAATCGTTTGAAATCTAATCTTTTCTCTTCTTTCTATATTGAAATTTCGGCATCAACCTTTTCAGCGGAATTATAAGTATTTAGCTTATCGCTTCAGGCATAGTAGAATAAGCTTTAAATATTTGCGTATCAAAGTTATGATACAGTTAAATAATGTAATAATGTCCAAGTTAAATAATCAAAACCTAATGTTTAAGAATTGTTTGAAATCTAATCATTTCTCTTCCTTCTATAGCGAAATTTCGGCATCAACCTTTTCAGCCGATTTGTTACAATAATTATATTACATTTCGTACAGAAATCATACATTTAATGGAAAAGGGCTTTTTAATCCGTTAAATCAATTCTGAGCATTGTTCATATATACTCAGGTAAGGCTAACTTTACTGTGAATTGACACATTTTTATCGTCACAATGATTCCTGTTAGAAAATCTGCATCAACCTTTTCAGCCGAATTATAATTATGTAGCATATCGCTTCATGCAAAGTAGAGAAATTGTAATTATGTGTTAAAAGTCAATGGAACTGTGAAAAAATGCCACTTTAGATTGTTTTAACTGGATGATGGAAAATAATCGAACAATATTACAAGAAATCGTTAGAAAAACTGCATCAACATTTTCAAATGATTTATTTATGCATCAAATAATAATAAGTGCTTAATGTATTTGCCTATCAAAGTTATAATACATTTAAATAATGTTGAAGTTGAATAATCAAAACCTAATGTTTAAGAATCGTTTGAAATCAAATCATTTCTTTTATTTCTACAGCGAAATTTCGGCATCAACCTTTTCAGCCGATTTGTCACAATTTGATAACTTCTATGCTTCAATCATTCATTGAACGGAAAAGGGCTTAATAATCTGTTAAATAAATTCTGAGCATTGTTCATATATACTCAGGTAAGGCTAACTGTTCTGTGAATTGACACATTTTTATCGTCACAATGACTCCTGCATCAACCTTTTCAGCCGAATTATAAGTATTTAGCATATCGCTTCATGCAAAGAAGAAATATTGTAATTATGTGTTTAAGTCAATGGAACTGTGAAAAGGGCCACTTTAGATTGTTTAAACCGGATGATGGAAAATAAACGAAAAATATCACAATAATTGGTAAGAAAAACTGCATCAACCTTTTCAGATGATTTATTTATGCATCAAATAATGTTAAGTGCTTAATGCATTTGCCAATCAAAGTTATGATAAGTTAAATAATTTTCGAGTTGAATAATATTAACATAATGTTTGACAACTGTTTGAAATCTTATCATTTCTCTTAGTTCTATAGTGAAATTTCAACATCAACCTTTTCAGC